AAAATACTGTAACCTTCTGATTTTTTCTAGTTTCTCTGCTTTGTGTGGGCTATTGGCTGAACAAAACGCTGGCGATCAGTCTACGCGTCCTGATCACCACTCTAAACACAGTAATGAACCTCCACCGATCAAACTATTTCTTTTGGTACGTATATCATGAAAGGGATATATATTGGATTGGCAAGAAATTTTTGTCTTTTGTTTTCAAATTTTCATAGAACGCTCGAGAATGTTCTTTAAGTTTCTATGTGAGCGATATGTATGCCGTAGGCCAATCTACGATTGGCCTACGGCATATTGAGATCTTAGTTTGAGCTAGTCCAAAGCAGGATTCACTCAAAATATTAGATGAAAACTCAATTTTGGCCCTGAGTATAATATCAGCTTTTAGCTTGCATATTCGAAAACTACAGCCAAATGGGCATCTCTCCTACAGAAATTATTGCATTCTAAGAAAAGTTGTTGATTTAAAAACTTATAAGCATTTTGTGAAACACGACCTGGAAGGGGGTGTTGAAGGTTTAGGGGTAAAAATCTGGACCCCTCCCCCCCCCCCCCCTCCACAAACATGTGACAGATATTCGGATTGTCACAGACTATAATCGTCACATGGAAAAATTGGCATATATTGGGACCAGTAATTATGACGATAGTCACGAACCATGATCGATAGGTTTCCTTATCGACATAAAGAGTGACCGATCTACAGTGCAATTATATCACTGCACGGAAAAAAAATAAGGTATTCTACCAAGCCCATAAAAAAAGTTTCGTAGATGCTCAAAGCTTCCAAATGTGTCGATATGTCAAAAAAATGGTTTTCAAAAATCTACAAAACCCAAAAAGGATCGGTCGGCGGGCACACGCTACGAACCCTCATCACGGAACCTTTTTAAGTTTCGCCGCAAAATACGAAACCTTAATGGATTCGTACAAAACCTTAGTGCGAAACCTTAAGGCTCCGTATTTTGCGGCGAACCTTTATTGGGACCGTGCGAAACTTAAAAAGGTTTCGAGACGATGGTTCGGAGCGTGTGCCCGCCGACCGATCCTTTTTGGTTTCGTAGATTTTTGAAAACCATTTTGTTCAATATGTCGACACATTTGGAAGCTTTTAGGATCTACGAAACTTTCTCGACGGATTTGGTAAAACACCTTATTTTTGTTCAGTGTGAGTAACTGGTAGCATCCGATATTGTAATCGACCAAAGTAAAAGATCTATAGTTGTTTAATCCCAGACAAAGAAAAGCGCTGGTGTATTTATATAAATGAACTTAGTCTATCTAGTTTGCTGGGGATGAATCAGCAGCATCTCAAATACCTGACGTGACCATACGTGTGTTTGGTATCAGACGTCCCTTGCGCTTCTATGAAGAACCTAATCAAACAACTTACACATTACGTATGCTATAGACCAAACTCAGTATTTCGGAATGATAGCTGCGTCGTGTTCCACGTTTTAATCCCGTAGGGATTGCGCTGAAAGCTTTTTTATTACAAATTTGCTTTGCCATTTTATATTAGCTATGGCACGAGCTCTATGTTTCGGAAGACATTTCACAAATCAATGCAACCACTGATGAATCGACTCTTCAATTTCTGCAAATGTCGTCAAACTCAAACCCAAATTATTCAGTTAAAAAACAGAGTAGAAACTAAAATATAGACGAAAAGTTGCCCATTTGATCGAAACGTATTTAGAATCTGTGGAATATACCTTTTTTTACAGTATATCCTTTCGCTCGTATTTGTCTCGTGCACTACTCATTATCATTTGCTCTACTTTCTTCGATATGATGTTTCATTGTTTTTGTTTCGAATAAAATGATTCGTAACCATCAGTACTATGTGAAAGTTTGGGTAACAGAATTACAAAGGTAGCTTTAGCTTTAAGGAAATGATAAAAGCAGTGTTCTCAGATGCTTTCAATACCATCGAATCCAGATTGATGGAATGATGGAAAATAAAAGAAGCATTATGGAATGCTCTGTCATTCATTCTTAGTTTTTCTAAAAATAAAGTAAATTCTTACTTTTTAACATTCCACAGAAAGAATCTTCTTTCTAGTAATACACTTTCTTTCCGGGATTAGATCAAATTTCGATGATTGCCGAATGACTTCATTCTCATTCCCGAGAAGAAATTGGTTTTAATTGAATAAGGCGTGAAAATGGAATGAGAATTAATGAGTGTTTAGAATCAGCTATGATAAATCGAACAGAAGTCGATTTGATCTTCACTGAATGAAAAGAATTGTTTTAAAAGAAATTTTAGTCGACAAATGAGACTTTGTAATCTTCTGAACACATTCCACCCTTGACTTTAAGTGGAAAGAATTCTTCACAATAGTTTCAAGACGAATTAATTACCGATGAGCATCATTACAACGCAGAGTATTCATGAGGTCAATCTTTCAATTGAATAATCCTTTCAATTCTGAATCAAGTCGAAACAGTTTCCACGACAAAATCCTCTTTATCAACAATCTATACTTAAAAATCAAAACGACTTTCCAATCATATAATACAAACTTCTTTGTCTCTTTTCTTTTCTACTTTTACTCATTTATCATCAAGGGAGAATAATTTCGTTGAGACGAACATTTCCAAATGCAAATCTTTAGTGAATGAAGGAGAATATTTTGTTGAAACTAACGCGAATTCGCATATCTCTTCTTGCGAATATTTTTCGATAAAAATTTCCCTCGTTTTCATCATCTACATTCTGCACACGTACAAAATTGGATCATTGTGAAGATTAGAAAGTCGAAGATCAATTATTTGTCATATTAAACAATGAATTGCACGCTCGATCTCGAATGAGATCATGAATGTATATGAACAACACTCAAATGAAGATCAACATTGCATTGACTGCTTTCATTCAAAAGAAAAGTTTCGACAAAGTTGGATGATGAACCTAACTGAAACAAGAACAATCAATTAAATGGCTGAAGATTCCAATAATGAAGACAAACCATTCCAAATGTGATGTGAATCAAAATTAGAGATGAAAGCAGTTTTATCTGAAGAAAACTGTGAATAAATTGATAATATTCACACAATATCCAAGCTCCTCTTTTCGTTCTTTTGTCCAAATATCTATCTCGTCTTTATCATAAAAAGTAACAACAAACTATCTCGGCATTACAAATCATATTCCCCTGCATTCTAGGTACCTTTTTATTCTTTGTTCCAAAGAAGTTGGAAATCTTTCTTCATCGCACTAATATTCATTTCTTATTCGATAATATCTAGGCATACGATTCATTTAAATTTATTACGTATCTCTGAATGGTTAAAGTGTTATGCGTATTCAAGGGTTTAGACAAACACGTGCTGAAACATAAAATAGCTGGCAGGATATAATTGTCGAGGAATGTTAAATTTATTCGTTCACTATTAGGCCGTCGTATCATAGACTATCTTTCTCCGTATTTGTTTCTTTTCTTCCATCTCTCCTCTTATCTATGCTTGTTTCTGTCCGTCTGTCTGTCTCCATTCAACATCTACCACGTTTTCTTCAAATACACTTCTTTCCAAATATTTGGGGACCAAATAGTACGTCGAAAGGCAAACCTTGTTTTAGATAAACATCAATCTCAACCGTGTTTATCATAGTGAATATGAGTGATAACAGTTCGAAAAATACTCCTAATGCAGCAGCTAATTCGACTGAATCTACTGTCTGTGAATATGTAAGTAATTTTTGAGCAAGTGCAAGTAAATTGACCTCATCTCTTTAGAATCTTCAACTGAAAATCGACAAATGCGAACAGCAAGTGAATAAATCCGATTGAGTTCTTCTTGGAATCGTCTCTTTTCTGTTTTAGCTGAAGCACTAACTCAAATTATATGGTTTAGCTTGGAACAAGATAAATTCTAAGGAAGAATTTATACGCAAACTGAAACAGGAAATTGACACGCTTATCATTGAAGAAAGTGAACTTTCTAACTCGATTAAAAAGTTAAAATCTAAAATCGGTAAAGAAAGTAATCCGAGATTTTTAATATTTCATTTCGTATTGTATTTTAGGGGATCTTCGCGAGAAACAAAGCAAAATCACGGACAAGAATTAAGTTTTTGGTTTTTTTTTAAAGAAAAAAGAATAAAGTTCTTGATCATCATCATCCTCAGAAGCCTCTTCTCAATCTTTCTTGAATAAATCGAAACAGAATCTCATTTATAACAATGGAAAATGAAGATAAAACTCTTTCGTATGTGCCAATGGAGATGACACCAGTAGCTGTTTGACCTTAGCGCAATTGCGTCGTGTCTCTCTTCTTGTAAAGTTATCTGTAACAATCCTCAGATTGTTGTAAATCACGTTTAATTTTGTTAGAGACGGTAGATACATCTTTGTTTCATTCAAGAATTGTTCAAGGTAAGGACTATCCGCGCGTCGCATATCAAGGTAGGTAAGATGAGGAAACTCAGCTATCTTGTATGACTGACTATTGTCGAGTTGGCATGGCTCTGCTCCCATGTTTAAAACCCGAAGAATTTGTAGCAACGGAAAAGCTCGAGCAAGTTCGATAAAGAATTCACGGTTGAACCAAACAATGTCGTGTATCATTAAATACGTTACATGATTAAATATAATATTTGGAATCGTATGACCAAAATCTTCTATATAATCAAATGCGAAAGGAGTTGAGAAGGCAGAGCATACTATGTCTTCAGGACTAATGTTATTGATAATGCAGACCACCTGCTTTTGTCCTAAATTGGTAAATGTTCGCTGGACGTCTTGACTGGTTGGATGATGTAACGAATCAATAGTNGAACAAATTGATAATATTCACACAATATCTAAGCTCCTCTTTTCGTTCTTTTGTCCAAATATCTATCTCGTCGTTACCATAAAAAGTAAAAACAAATTATCTCGGCATTACAAATCATATTCCCCTGTATTCTAGGTACTCTTTTATTCTTCGCGCCAAAGAAATTCGAAATCTTTCTTCATCGCGCTAACATTCATTTCTTATTCGATAAATATCTAGGCATACGATTTATTTAAATTTATTACGTATCTCTCAATGGTTAAAGTGTTATGCGTATTCGAGGGTTTAGACAAACACGTGCTCGAACATAAAATAGCTGGCAGGATATAATTGTTGAGGAATGTTAAATTGATTCGTTCACTATTAGGCCGTCGTATCATAGACTATCTTTCTCCGTATTCGTTTCTTTTCTTCCAACTCTCTTCTTATCTATGCTTGTCTCTGTCTCCATTCGACATCTACCACGTTTTCTTCAAATACATTTCCCGGGTCAACAAATCCGATGCTGGATCCGATTGGATCTTACCGGGTCCGACCATCTGACAAAATCCGATCGGACTCCTGGAAACGGAATTGCATTGGAATCCGACTAGAAAAATCCCGTCGGTTGTTGCAAATTTTATGAGCGATCTTTCTAGCTATATTCTATGATGACCCTTAGAAAATCCAGGAAATCCATGTTTCGGATCCGATGGGATCCGAGTATAGGATTGTTCGACCTGGGTTCTTTCCAAATATTTGTGGACCAAATAGTACGTCGAAAGGCAAACCTTGTTTTAGATAAACATCAATCTCAACCGTGTTTATCAAAGTGACTATGAGTGATAACAGTTCAAGAAAGACTCCTAATGCAGCAGCTAATTCGACTGTATCTACTATCTGTTAATGTGTAAGTAACTCTTGAGCAAGTGCAAGTAAATTGACCTCATCTCTTTAGAATATTCAACTGAAAATCGACAAATGCGAACATCAAGTGAATAAATCCGATTGAGTTCTTCTTGGAATCGTTTCCTTTTCTGTTTTAGCTGAAGCACGAACTCAAATTACATGGTTTAGCTTGGGACAAGATAAATTCTAAGGAAGAATTTATACGCAAACTGAAACAGGAAATTGACACGCTTATCATTCAAGAAAGTGAAATTTCTAACTCGATTAAAAAGTTAAAAACTAAAATCGGTAAAGAAAGTAATCCGAGATTTTTAATATTTGATTTCGTATTGTATTTTAGAGGATCTTCGCGAGAAACAAAGCAAAATCACGGACAAGAATTAAGTTTTTGGTTTTTTAAAAGAAAAATGAATAAAGTTCATGATCATCATCATCCTCAGAAGCCTCTTCTCAATCTTCATTGAGTAAATCGAAACAGAATCTCATTTATAACAATGGAAAATGAAGATAAAAGTCTTTCGTATGTGCCAATGGAGATGACACCAGTACCTGTTCGACCTTAGCGCAATTGCGTCGTGTCTCTCTTCTTGTAAAGTTATCGGTAACAATCCTCAGATTGTTGTAAATCACGTTTAATTTTGTTAGAGACGGCAGATACGTCTTTGTTTCATTCAAGAATTGTTCAAGGTAAGGGCTATTTGCGCGTCGCATATCAAGGTAGGTAAGATGAGGAAACTCAGCTATCTTGTATGACTGACTATTGTTGAGTTGGCATGGCTCTGCTCCCATGTTTAAAACCCGAAGAGTTTGTAGCAACGGAAAAGCTCGAGCAAGTTCGATAAAGAATTCACGGTTGAACGAAACAATGTCGTGTATCATTAAATACGTTACATGATTAAATATAATATTTGGAATCGTATGACCAAAATCTTCTATATAATCAAATGTGAAAGGAGTTGAGAAGACAGAGCATACTATGTCTTCAGGACTAATGTTATTGATAATGCAGACCACCTGCTTTTGTCCTAAATTGGTAAATGTTCGCTGGACGTCTTGACTGGTTGGATGATGTAACGAATCAATAGTCGTGACATAGGTACAAATAGACAGTGAGTGAATGAAGTAGTGGCATGTAGGCAAGAATTTCACTTTGAAGAAAAGTACCATCAACGAATTTGTCTTGATCTTTTATACGAAGATATAAAGTTAAATTTTCCAAATTTGACAATCGACGAAAAAGAAGTAAAAATTTGGTATTGAGTAAAGTAATACAATTTTGAAATGTCAAAGAGAAACATTTTAGATTGGGTAAATGATCCTAAAAAGAAGAATCAACATCTCTTGACTAGGATGAATGTGTAATACGCTTCAAGTAGTGCATTCATTCAATTTTGGAATCATTGTTCACATCTGTGTGAGTCATCAGCAGAATAATCTCTTGAGGATATTTCTAGTCTCATCAAGTCCTACTTATATTCAATATATAACCTCTGGGTTTTTTCTCCAATCAATGAGTGTACAGAACTTGTTACGACTTACCATGTTGTGAATGATTGATGATGAGTTCTCCATGTGGCCTATACGAACAATAAGTGTAGCCAGTTGTTTGAGTCTACCATCAAGTAAATAAAGACAATCGTCCAAACTGTACACATCGATAGATAAGTAAGTGAGACTCGATAAATAGAAAGTATTTGATGGTAGACCACGCAATGCCAAGCATAGAGTGGACATGTTGGATGATCCAATAATGTTCAAATGTTTTAAATTTTGAAAAACATTCAAAATCTGTATATACACATTTAAAATATAAGTTTTCAATGATTTTATTAACATATCCTTGTCATGATTGACAAGAATGAGATTTGTAATTTGGTGCTGGAAAATATATCGAAGCGGTGATTCATCTAAACAAGAAAAACATCAGCATCTTTTGTTTAGTCTGTTTTGATTTCACTTACCTCCAAAATAATGAAGAGCGCATTCTTCATTGAAATCACAAAGTTTGATCTTGGTTAAATTTGGATAGTGACTAGCAAGCAAGATACATTCTATCAAATCTGGTTTAAGAATCAAATATTTGATATTTTCATGAATGCTTGGCAAGATATGAAGACGAAAGCGATCGAGTCTCAAACGATCCATCGAAGAAGTAGGATCGAACGAGACGAAATTAAGTGTACCACTGGAGACTTGTTCTTGTGCTAACGTTTCAAGTCGTCCATGATTGATATTTNATGTCGTGTATCATTAAATACGTTACATGATTAAATATAATATTTGGAATCGTATGACCAAAATCTTCTATATAATCAAATGTGAAAGGAGTTGAGAAGACAGAGCATACTATGTCTTCAGGACTAATGTTATTGATAATGCAGACCACCTGCTTTTGTCCTAAATTGGTAAATGTTCGCTGGACGTCTTGACTGGTTGGATGATGTAACGAATCAATAGTCGTGACATAGGTACAAATATAGAAAGTGAATGAATGAAGTAGTGGCATGTAGGCAAGAATTTCACTTTGAAGAAAAGTACCATCAACGAATTTGTCTTGATCTTTTATACGAAGATATAAAGTTAAATTTTCCAAATTTGACATTCGACGAAAAAGAAGTAAAAAGTTGGTATTGAGTAAAGTAATACAATTTTGAAATGTCAAAGAGAAACATTTTAGATTGGGTAAATGATCCTAAAAAGAAGAATCAACATCTCTTGACTAGGATGAATGTGTAATACACTTCAAGTGGTGCATTCATTCAGTTTTGGAATCATTGTTCACATCTGTGTGAGTCATCAGCAGAATAATCTCTTGAGGATATTTATAGTCTCATCAAGTCCTACTTATATTCAATATATAACCTCTGGGTTTTTTTCAAATCAATGTGTACAGAACTTGTTATGACTTACCATGTTGTGAACGATTGATGATGAGTTCTCCATGTAGCCTATACGAACAATAAGTGTAGCCAGTTGTTCGAGTCTACCATCAAGTAAATAAAGACAATCGTCCAAACTGTACACATCGATAGATAAGTAAGTGAGACTCGATGAACAGAAAGTATTTGATGGTAGACCACGCAGTGCCAAGCATGGAGTGGACATGTTGGATGATCCAATAATGCTCAAATGTTTTAAATTTTGAAAAATATTCAAAATCTGTGTATACACATTTAGAATATAAGTTTTCAATGATTTTATTAACATTTCCTTGTCATGATTGACAAGAATGAGATTTGTAATTTGGTGCTGGAAAATATATCGAAGAGGTGATTCATCTAAACAAGAAAAACATCAGCATCTTTTGATTAGTCTGTTTTGATTTCACTTACCTCCAAAATAATGAAGAGCGCATTCTTCATTGAAATCACAAAGTTTGATCTTGGTTAGATTTGGATAGTGACTAGCAAGCAAAATACATTCTATCAAATCTGGTTTAAGAATCAAATATTTGACATTTTCATAAATGCTTGGCAAGATATGAATACGAAAGCGATCGAGTCTCAAACGATCCATCGAAGAAGTAGGATCGAACGAGACGAAATTAAGTGTACCACTGAAGACGTGTTCTTGTGCTAACGTTTCAAGTCGTCCATGATTGATATTTAATAACGAATAAAGTACATCGGTATTGTTGAGCTTTTTCAAAATCATAAGCAGGATCTCGTTGGGGAGATCCAGAAGGGAAACATCGAATTCATTCATGTTCTATGTTGGCGGAAATAGATAACTTGATCGAGGAAAATGTGACCTTGGTGTGTCATTCGATAAATTATATAGTCGGCGAGCGATGTTTTTTTCGGTCAATTTGTCACAGTCAGTTNTATTTAATAACGAATAAAGTACATCGGTATTGTTGAGCTTTTTCAAAATCATAAGCAGGATCTCGTTGGGGAGATCCAGAAGGGAAACATCGAATTCATTCATGTTCTATGTTGGCGGAAATAGATAACTTGATCGAGGAAAATGTGACCTTGGTGTGTCATTCGATAAATTATATAGTCGGCGAGCGATGTTTTTTTCGGTCAATTTGTCACAGTCAGTTCGTCGTCCGCGTCATCGGTTAATTTATTTCATTTTTGGCCTGTGAATTATCCTGAGTGGAATGAAATGAATGATTCGACCAAAGTTGAACATGTGACGAGGGACAATATCTGCTCTCATATATGAGGGAAATTTTGAAAACGAACAGTCGGCTTTTCTCCGATTTGTGATTACCAGATTTCGATCGTGAACTTTGGAACAAAGAAAACCTTTTTCTTTCAGATAAATTCGAAAGTTTTATATGTTTGTAGAGAAGAAATACCTATATTCATTGCAGACATCATATCAATTGTTATAGTCAACACTTTATGCTTGTTTTGTTAAGAAATAGAACAGAAAGAATTTCGTAGAAATATACATAAAAAGCAAAGATTTGTATTGAATTAATCCGATTATCTTTCTTTGTGTTTGCATAATGATTGGATAAAGATACGAACAAACTTTATTCGATAATTCTTCATGAGAAAGTGTAGAAAATGAATATCATGCAAGCTTTTGTTCAAATACAAATCTGGTTGATCATTTAATTTTGTCTTTCTTTTTCAATTTAAAGTCAAAATTTTTCAGTTGCATTTAATTCATTCCAAATGAACGAATATTCAATTGTTATACAAAAAACTAAGTTACTCATCTAACAAAGCTTTCTTTGTAAAACTAAATTCAATTTCGAATCAAACTAGTAACCAACACAAAAAATGGAAACATTATACAAAATAGTTAAACAGTTTGATCTATTTCATTTCGATATAGCTTCAAAGAGGTTACTTTTATTAAAGATCTTTGAAAGAAAAGATTTGCAGTTTAAATAGATTCATTGGGGAAGGTGACGACTAATGGCTTAATCAGGATTGAGTGAGTAACATGACGGCGTCCGATCAGACCACGACATTCAACATATCTTATTGATACCAACTCTTTTGTAATTCTCATCAATATAATCATATAGTGCTATGAGCGAAATTATAGTCTTTGATCACCTGTCATTTATCTTGAGGCACATTCTCAAATTGAAACTCACATAAAAGGACAGAATGATGGGGACAGTTCTCAGTTTATCTCTTGCAACGATCTTCTATTCATTTAGATCTCTGCGTTTACTATATTGTACAAGCACAAAGTCAGCTATTGAGCATATAATAAAAGTTTACTGGGTTTCAATTTGAGGCATGGCAAAATATTATAAATATAAGAAGTATTCCATTATATTCTTAGTCATTCTTGCGTATGCATGTGTCAATATAAGTCATACAATCTGCCTTAATGATTCATCTTCGCCACGTTGGACAGATATTGCTGCTCTTGCGCAATTACACTTTTATATAGTGGTGACATTTCTGTTTCTTTCATTATCAATTTTGAAATGACTGAGAATACTGTGATGTCTACAGCGCCGAATTCGTCAAATTCTGATACAGATGTTTGCTCGATCTGCTTGAGCTCATTAGTGCAACCAGGCATGGACGTATTCAAAACAGCCTGTCAACATCAATTCCATTTTAATTGTTTAGTTAAAAGTGTTGCAGCACAGAATCATGAATGTCCGCTCTGTCGAACTCGATTAGATGCTCTAAGCAGTATTATTCACCCACTCGCCGCAAATACTATCCCTCCAGTCCCAGCCCCTGTACAGCCGATCACTTCATCGTCGACAAATTCTGGAATATGGTCTACATTGACAAGATCAATCAACAATGCATTCAATTGGAGAACTAGTCGAAATTCTCCTTCATCGCAAACACCAACACGAAATGTCAATCAAGTTGATCAGCTGCTTTCTCTTTCACATGAAGATTTGGTAGATGAAGCAGCTGTTCGTACTGTCTCCGATCGCATTCAAGCTGCTCGCCAAAGAGCAATGAACAGCACCACTGAACTAACCTTGATCACTGCAACGACAACACTGGAATTCGGTGGTCAGGTATCGACTGAGGCATCAAATGTTTATGGAATGGTAACACTTAAAGCACCTTCTCTTCTTCCAGTAACTGCAAGTGAAAAGGACATGACAGAACTGCGCGTTCCAGTTGATCTTGTTTGTGTGGTCGACCAAAGCGGCTCGATGCAAGGTGAAAAAATCGCGCTACTGAAGAAGACTTTAGATTTTATTATTGATCAAATGAGTCCACTCGATCGATTAGCCATAGTTTCTTTTGACACGAGTGCATACAATCGATCCAATGGTCTCAATTTGATGACACAGGCAAAGTAAGTCTTGCATCGGAATCGATATGCACTTTAAACATTCTTCGATTCTAGACAACAGACACTTCACAATGCCGTAGCACAGAATATTCATGCAAATGGCGGTACTTATATTGGTTCTGGTCTTGAGATGGGAATTGGTATGTTAAGGAACCGTCGAACGAAGAATCCAATTGGTGCCATGCTTCTTCTTACCGATGGACAAGACAATCAGCACCATGATTATTCTCAGCTGATGCAAACTCTTCCTGATGGTGTTGTTTGTCACACATTCGGTTACGGCTTAGGACATCGAGCAGCATTGCTCTCTCAATTAGCAGAACTAGGTCGCGGAGGTACTTTTACTTTTATCGATCAACTGGATGCTATCGCTGTGGCATTTGCTACGGCTCTAGGCAGTCTGTTTACTTGTGTTGCACAAAATTTGAGTGTCAAACTTGATTTCGACGGTGAATACGCCGTAACACATTCCCATTCTATCTACAAACACGAACCGGCGCAGTTACCATCGTCGCACGTTGTTTTTCGACTAACTGATCTAAATAGTGAAGAAAAGCGCAATCTTGTCTTTCAACTGAACGTTCCAGCACTTCCTGAATCCTCGAATGAGAATGATACAATCGGTAAGTAGAACTTTTCATTTTCTTAGGTGCGATATAGAGACTATTCATTTGTTGCGGATAGGTCGTGTGTCACTCGAATACACAGACGCTATTAGTGGTCGTCAAGTTCAAACGCCAGCTGTTCCATTCTTGTTGACACGTCCTGCTCAGCTGGCTCCTGATTCGCCACTGCTGATTGTCAACTATGCACTAGACTTACAGCGTAACCGTGCTGAGACAAGTCGCGTTTTGAAAGCAGCCGTCAATGAACAAAATTATGAACGTGCTCGAGAACTGATCAATGCTCAGCTAGCAAAGATTCGAGCGTCTGTTTCAGTTGCAGATCCACTATGTCAACAACTAATTCGTGATCTTGAATACCAATATGCTAATCAGCGTGAATTCTACACAACTATGACTAATATGTACATGCAACACGGACAAGAGCGAGCTACTTATTCAACAGGTACAACTTGCAGTGCCGGTTGGTATGTGTCATCAGGCCAAGAACGTTTTCGATCACTTGCGCGTCATTATCAATAACAAAGCATAACCGTGTACAAAAATCTGTTGATGATTGAAATCACAAATAAATTTGAGTAAAAATTGTTATAATCTAACAAATAGTTCAGCTTAACGACAAATAACAAAAGTCAGAACTTTCGTTTGCTATAGTCTGTATGTAGTCTTCATGTTGGATAGAAGACAGTGAAAAGTTGATTTGTTTTGAAAATATCTCTTTGCGTTCGACAAGCAAATACTGTTATTTACAAAAAAGAAGGAAAAAAAAAGAATTAACTTATTAAATAACTATTGCGTCTCTGTTTGCTTAATGCAAATCAACGACTGTATTAGAGTAGTAGGTATGTCTGTTTGCCTAAAAAGAAAGCATTTTCTTTCAGAAAGAAAAGGAAAAAGAATAAAGTGTTTTATATTTGTAGTATTTTTTTTTCATATTGCCAACGTCATTTACTTGTTGTTAAACGACTGTTCTCTTAGAGTCAATGTCTGGGACACAAAGGAGCGTCTATTTTGGCGAAGAACATGCACGGAATGGTAGTCTTTTGCGTGGCATTCTTGACGAACAGTGTGTCGTTTGGCTTGGTTCCCAAGCAAACCATACTATACCTACCTTTACTCACAAACTTCGCGATACGATAGTTTTTCTAGATACGTCGATCGATTGTACCAATCATATTACTTCATCGGAATCCTCAGTTGTTCTTATTATATCCGACGAGTATGCGATCCATCAAAAAACAATCGAAGATATGCTCAGTGTAGTTCAAGTGAAAATGATCTACGTCGTTATCGACGAATCTCAATTGAGTTCGAGTTCTAGTACACAATTGCTTTCGAACCAAAGAATCGAATACATTTTTGACGATGCATCGACTGTATTAAAACAAATATGTGACATTCGAGAACAATTTTCGATTCAAATAGATAAATCAATGTTGGCATCAAGTGCGGAAGTAAAAAATGCAGGATCAGTGAAGATCTGTCGAAACAACAGTTGGGTATTAAATCGAATCAATCGTCCCAATGGGCATCAACCCGCAGAGATAAGAATCGATAGAAATTACTATATCTGGGTAACTGACACCATTACCATCATTTTTGATAGTGAAAAAAAACCGTTTCTTCTCTTCAACTGATAGAAAGCTATTCAACATGCTGAACGAGCTGTAACAGAAGACCAAAATGAGAATTATCTAGTCGCCGAAAGATCCTATAGGACGGCAGTAAGATGGCTTGCGCATTCATTAAAATGTAAGTAGTAATATTACTTCTTGTTAACATGACGTTTGAATCTATGTACGTGTTTAGACATTACATTGACTGATCAGATGAAACAACAAGTCCAAGAAAAATTAGATAGCTACGCTAGTCGAGCAGACACGATCAGAAGTAGTTACAATGAGGAATCAGTTGATATTATTGTACAAGACTGTGATAGTTTGACAAACGAAAATAATAAAGAGATATCAGCTTCATAACGTCAGAGGATGAAGCAAATAGTTGAAAATCAGTGGCAATTATCTACTAATTAATTCGAATATTCGAAGTCTAATGCATCCAAATATTGCACAATTTTTTTGTCTCGAATTAGCCTTTAATAGCGCCCCTTCTAAAAGAATATTTAACATTTGACCACAATCGAGATATACACTAAATAAAAATAATAAATTTTTCACATTTTAACCTGGCATTCAGTGTAAATATACGAAAAGACGCAGGACTTTCTCTCTGTATAAATATATTAGACTGCTAATTAAAAGAAGTATAATAACAAAAACAAAAGAAAATATTCATTATGCTATTAGAGATATATTTCAAGAATCTCTTCTTGCACATTGACTTTTGTAGGAAAGGTCTGTTGAGTAAGTTGTTCAACTTCAGCAGCGAATCGACATCTTTTTCGTATACGTGCACCATATTTATAAAAGAGAAAAGGGAATGGTGCGCAAATCAATGTTAAAAAAGCTATGATAGATGTCGCCCAATGAATTCCTAATTTATCATACATTTGTGTTGTAAATAAAACGAAAGCTGCTCCGAAAGTATAACGAATAATCATGTTGGCTCCTAATGTTGAAGCGGCATAAATCGTATAGGCATCAATTAAGTAATTGAAGATACNCTATGTTGCATGTAATCAATATGAGAAAGAATTTGTAGAGAGTCGGCCATTTCTTAGGATTTTCTGGATCATTATCAAGCCAATTAATGGTAAACGGTGAATCTTTCGTACCATCACCTGGATATTTTTCTTTTAATAGGGTAAAAGTTCCTAATTGTTTCACCTTCCATGGTAACCATGATTTGATCATATCACTTCCTGAAGCATTATTCGTCGATAAATCTGGTAGCATGTTGTTATAGGAGAATTTGCTTGTTCTTGCATAGACAACAACTATTGGTCTCCTTATATAGGCATATAACCTTCGTACGGAAAAGGTAACGCGTTGGTGTGTACACTGTTCTTTCGAACATGTTCTATACATCACTGTCTAGTGATCATTATTTATTCATTCTCTTCTTTTTCATAAAGGTAGTTGAGGTTGTCAGCGATATACTTTCATATCGAGAGAAAACACGTGTTACGGTGAATAAAAATAATGGCTAATCAAACTATGATGATGATCGTAACATCAAATAAAGATTTAATTCGTCAAGTGTCTTTGAGTAACGCTTCCGATACACACATTGTTAATTTGAATGTTTTCGCTAATAATTATACTCAATCCAAATCAACTCAAGTTTCGAAGAAACCGACTGATTGTAGGTGTACTATTTGTGGTGATCGTGCTAGTGGATTTAATTACCATGCTCTTTCCTGTGCTTCTTGTAAAATTTTTTTTCGGCGTAATATTCATCAGAGGGTTAGTTCCTTTTTGATATGTTGATCTGACTTTAATGATGTTTGTTTTCTTTTTTTGAAAGGAAAAATTGAAATGTTTGTTAGGCGAAAGGCAATGTTTGGTTTCATATGGAATACGTCGTCGATGTCCACAATGTCGGCTAGAACGATGTGTGAAAATGGGAATGAGAAAAGATTTTCTACTTAGTGAAGAACGAAAGCAGCAAAGAAGAAAATATTTCCAAGAAACTCGAAAGGTAAAACTCTTCTAAGGTTCATCATAATTTATTTTTTCGTTTTTTTTTATCAATGAAGGATGATAGTGTTTATTTAAATCAACGGAATTCTACAACAATAGCAATATTACCCGACGACGATTTAGTTCTAACTGAAAACCTTCGATCCTTGTTTTTACTCATTTTTGAAAAATATGATGTTCAATGTGCTTGTGTCGACGTATCTGACCGTATGTCTGCTCTGATTTCTTGGTCACAATTCGTCAGTCGAGTTGCTTTAAAATTTATTCGTCTGTTACGTCAAATTCATCAATTCGAAGATTTATCGGAAGATGATCGTTTTATTCTCGTTAAATACAATGTTTTCTCTCTCTGTTTAATGTCGAAATGTTTTTATTATAAACCAGAAGATGATTGTTGTTCTAATGATGATTGTGAATTATCTCGAANTATTTAAGAACGAATAAAGTACATCGGTATTGTTGAGCTTTTTCAAAATCATAAGCAGGACCTCGTTGGGGAGATCCAGAAGGGAAACATCGAATTCATTCATGTTCTATGTTGGCGGAAATAGATAACTTGATCGAGGAAAATGTGACCTTGGTGTGTCATTCGATAAATTATATAGTCGGCGAGCGATGTTTTTTTCGGTCAATTTGTCACAGTCAGTTTGTCGTCCGCGTCATCGGTTAATTTATTTCATTTTTCGCCTGTGAATTATCCTGAGTGGAATGAAATGAATGATTTGACCAAAGTTGAACATGTGACGAGGGACAATATCTGCTCTCATATATGAGGGAAATTTTGAAAACGAACAGTCGGTTTTTCTCCGATTTGTGATTACCAGATTTCGATCGTGAACTTTGGAACAAAGAAAAACTTTTCTTTTCAGATAAATTCGAAAGTTTTATATGTTTGTAGAGAAGAAATACCTATATTCATTGCAGACATCATATCAATTGTTATAGTCAACATTTTATGCTTGTTCTGTTAAGAAATAGAACAGAAAGAATTTCGTAGAAATAAAGATAAAAAGCAAAGATTTGTATTGAATTAATCCGATTATCTTTCTTTGTGTTTGCATAATGATTGGTTAAAGATACGAACAAACTTTATTTGATAATACTTCATGAGAAAGTGTAGAAAATGAATATCATGCAAGCTTTTGTTCAAATACAAATCTGATTGATCATTTGATTTTGTCTTTCTTTTTCAATTTAAAGTCAAAATTTTTCAGTTGGATTTAATTCATTCCAAATGAACGAATATTCAATTGTTATACAAAAAACTAAGTTACTCATCTAACAAAGCTTTCTTTGTAAAACTAAATTCAATTTCGAAATACTTAGATAAATGTGTTTTCTTTCAAATGAATCATTTTTGCGATATTGACTGTTCACTGAAAACACTTCCGGCTGTTTATGCTTATCAAATCTAAGAATTAGTTTCATTAGAAAAAGCTTTGGAACCAATACAATCTCAAATCGTTGGTTCGAATCGTTTTATTAAAGTTGTCAACAAACGTTGTCATTGTCCATCTGAACATGGTTTAACACGTGATGAATCAACTTTAGACAAATTACCAACTGTTCGGGGAAATGATTGGCGTGGAGCTTCAAATGATGTTGGAAATAATTTCCCTAAAAATCAAACAAAAACATGGTGGAATGTCAATTCTTGTTCTTCTTCAATTAATGTTATCGAGGATTTTCTTTTGGCAAGGAAACAAATTCAACAATATTTCTAATTGAAAGATCGAATGGAAAGAAAATCTCGAGTAATAGTGATCAAGAACATGAAAATGAAGTTATTCTAAAAAGGGGATCCGGTTTTTGTGTTCAACAGGGTGATGTTTTAGAACATCCAAAAGGGCCATTTCATTTTCATTTAGTTGAAATTATTGATTGTCAAAATTAAGAGCCTTTGGCATCAGTAGTGAACAATTTAGAGGTGAAAACAATGGAAAATGATAAAAGTGTGTTCAAAGTTTCATTTCGAAGAGATTGCGAATAAGAGGAATTTTATTGAAAGTCTTTCAGAAGAAATCAAACTGAAAAAATGGAATAACCGCGCCGGGAGGAAGTGGAAGTGGAAGGAAATTAAATAAAAATCAAGGAAACATTGCTGCAGATGGAAATGGATGGGGAGACAGAACTGATCAATTGAAAGAACTAAAATAATTCACTAATTATTACTGATCAATGGAACAAACGAGTGATTCGATGGTGGGTGAGGGCGAAGGAGACGAATCAAATCAATTTTCTTCTCCTCTTGACTTATCGTTTGATACGGAATGGAATCTGTGTGTTGCTGATTGGGGAAACGCCCGAATTCAAATGTTTGATTTAATTTGTGAATGAAAAATATATTTGGTTTTATTGTTTTTTTTGTAATTTTGAAGTGAAAATAGAAAATAGAGTGACAAGAAGAAGATTTGACGAGTTTACTCGATTGTTGATTAAATATGTTGAGGAATGAAATTTCGAATCAAACTAGTAACCAACACACAAAAAATGGAAACAGTGGGCGTCCGATCAGACCACGACATTCAACATATCTTATTGATACCAACTCTTTTGTAATTCTCATCAATATAATCATATAGTGCTATGAGCGAAATTACAGTCTTTGATCACCTGTCATCTATCTTGAGGCACATTCTCAAATTGAAACTCACATAAAAGAACAGAATGATGGGGACAGTTCTCAGTTTATCTCTTGCAACGATCTCCTATTCATTTGGATCTCTGCGTTTACTATATTGTACAAGCACAAAGTCAGCTATTGAGCATATAATAAAAGTTTACTGGGTTTCAATTTGAGGCATGGCAAAATATTATAAATATAAGAAGTATTCCATTATATTCTTAGTCATTCTTGCGTATGCATGTGTCAATATAAGTCATACAATCTACCTTAATGATTCATCTTCGCCACGTTGGATAGATATTGCTGGTCTTGCGCAATTACACGTTTATATAAGGGTGACATTTCTCTGTCTCTTTCATTGTCACTTTTGAAATGACTGAGGATACTGTAACGTCTACAGCGCAGAATTCTTCAAATTCTGATACTGATGTTTGCTCGATCTGCTTGAGCTCATTAGTGCAGCCAGGCATGGACGTATTCAAAACAGCCTGTCAACATCAATTCCATTTTAATTGTTTAGTTAAAAGTGTTGCAGCACAGAATCATGAATGTCCGCTCTGCCGAACTCGATTAGATGCTCTAAGCAGTATTATTCGCCCACCCGCCGCAAATACTATCCCTCCAGTCCAAGCCCCTGTACAGCCGATCACTTCATCGTCAACAAATTCTGGAATATGGTCTACATTGACAAGATCATTCAACAATGCATTCAATTGGAGAACTAGTCGAAATTCTCCTTCATCGCAAACACCAACGCGAAATGTCAATCAAGTTGATCAGCTGCTTTCTCTTTCACATGAAGATTTGGTAGATGAAGCAGCTGTTCGTACTGTCACCGATCGCATTCAAACTGCTCGCCAAACAGCAATGAACAGTACCGCTGAACCAACCCTGATCACTGCTACGACAACACTGGAATTCGGTGGTCAGGTATCGGCTGAGGCATCAAATATTTATGGAATGGTAACACTTAAAGCACCTTCTCTTCTTCCAGTAACTGCAAGTGAAAAGGACATGACAGAACTGCGTGTTCCAGTTGATCTTGTTTGTGTGGTCGACCAAAGTGGCTCGATGCAAGGTGAAAAAATGGCACTACTGAAGAAGACTTTAGATTTTATTATTGATCAAATGAGTCCACTCGATCGATTGGCCATAGTTTCTTTTGACACGAGTGCATACAATCGATCCAATGGTCTCAATTTGATGACACAAGCAAAGTAAGTCTTGCATCGGTATCGATGTGTACTTTAAACATTCTTCGGTTCTAGACAACAGACACTTCACAATGCCGTAGCACAGAATATTCATGCAAATGGCGGTACTTATATTGGTTCTGGTCTTGAGATGGGAATCGGTATGTTAAGGAACCGTCGAACGAAGAATCCAATTGGTGCTATACTTCTTCTTACCGATGGACAAGACAATCAGCACCATGATTATTCTCAGTTAATGCAAACTCTTCCCGATGGCGTTGTTTGTCACACATTCGGTTACGGCTTAGGCCATCGAGCAGGATTGCTCTCTCAATTAGCAGAACTAGGCCGCGGAGGTACTTTTACTTTTATCGATCAACTGGATGCTATTGCTGTGGCATTTGCTACGGCTCTAGGCAGCCTGTTTACTTGTGTTGCACAAAACTTGAGTGTCAAACTTGATTTCGACGGTGAATACGCCGTAACACATTCTCATTCTATGTACAAACACGAACCGACGCAGTTACCATCGTCGCGCGTTGTTTTTCGACTAACTGATCTAAATAGTGAAGAAAAGCGCAATCTTGTTTTTCAACTGAACATTCCAGCACTTCCTGAATGCTCGAATGAGACGAATGATACAATCGGTAAGTAGAACTTTTCATTTTCTTAGGTGCAATATGTAGACTATTCATTTGTTGCGGATAGGTCGTGTGTCACTCGAATACACAGATGCTATTAGTGGTCGTCAAGTTCAAACATCAGCTGTTCCATTCTTGTTGACACGTCCTACTCAGCTAGCTCCTGATTCGCCACTGTTGATTGTCAACTATGCACTAGACTTACAACGTAACCGTGCTGAGACAAGTCGCGTTTTGAAAGCAGCCGTCAATGAACAAAATTATGAACGTGCTCGAGAACTGATCAATGCTCAACTAGCAAAGATTCGAGCGTCTGTTTCAGTTGCAGATCCACTGTGTCAACAACTAATTCGTGATCTTGAATATCAATATGCTAATCAGCGTGAATTCTTCACCACTATGACTAATATGTACATGCAACATGGACAAGAGCGAGCTACCTATTCAACAGGTGCAACTTGCAGTGCTGGTTGGTATGTGTCATCAGGCCAAGAACGTTTTCGATCACTTGCGCTTCATTATCAATAACAAAGCATAACCCTGTACAAAATATATGTTGACGATTGAAATGACAAATAAATTTGAGTCAAAGTTGTTGTAATCTAACAAATAGCTCAGCTTAACGGCAAATAATAAAAATCAGAACTTTCCTTTGCTAGTCTGTATGTAGTTTTTATGTTGGATAGAAGACAATGAAAAGTTGATTTATTTTGAAAATATCTCTTTGCGTTCGACAAGCAAATACTTTTATTTACGAGAAAAGGAAGGTAAAGAATCAACCGATTAAATAACTACTGCACCTTTATTTGCTTAATGCAAATCAACGACTGTATTAGAGTAGTAGGTATGTCTGTTTGTCTAAAAAGAAAGCATTTTCTTTCAGAAAGAGAAGGAAAAAGAATAAAGTTTTTTATATTTGTAATATTTTTTTTCATACTGCCAACGTCATTTACTTGTTGTTAAACGACTGTTCTCTTAGAGTCAATGTCTGGGACACAAAAAAACGTCTATTTTGGCGAAGGACGTGCACGGAATGGTAGTCTTTTGCGTGGTATTCTTGACGAACAGTGTGTCGTTTGGCTTGGTTCCCAAGCAAACCATACTATACCCACCTTTACACACAAGCTTCGCGATACGATAGTTTTTCTCGATACGTCGATCGATTGTACCAATCACATTACTTCATCGGAATCCTCAGCTGTTCTTGTTATATCCGACGAGTATGCGATCGATCAAAAAACAATCGAAGATATGCTCAGTTTAGTTCAAGTGAAAATGATCTACGTCGTTATCGACGAATCTCAACTGAATTCTAATTCTAATACACAATTACTCTCGAACCAAAGAATCAAATACATTTTTGATGATACATCGACTGTATTAAAACAATTATGTGATATTCGAGAACAATTTTCGATTCAAATAGATAAATCAATGTTGGCATCAAGTGCGGAAGTAAAAAATGCAGGATCAGTGAATATCTGTCGAAACAACAGTTGGATATTAAATCGAATCAATCGTCCGAATGGGCGTCAACCTGCAGAGATAAGAATCGATAGAAATTACTATATCTGGGTAACTGACACCATATAGCCATCGTTTTTGACAGTGAAAAAAAAACGTTTCTTTTCTTCAACTGATAGAAAGCTATTCAACATGCTGAAAGAGCTGTAACAGAAGACAACAATCATAATTACCTAGTCGCCGAAGAATCTTATAGGTCGGCAGTAAAATGGCTTGCGCATTCATTAAAATGTAAGTTGTCATATTACTTCTTGTTAACATGACATTTGAATCTAATTATGTACGTGTTTAGACATTAGATTGCCTGATCAGATGAAACAACAAGTCCAAGAAAAATTAGATAGCTACGCTAGTCGAGCAGACACGATCAGAAGTATTTACAATGAGGAGCCAGTTGACATTATTGTACAAAACTGTGATAGTTTGACGAACGAAAATAATAAAGAGTTATCAGCCTCATAACGCCAGAGGATGAAGCAAATAGTTGAACATCAGTGACAGTTATCTACTAATTAATTCGAATATTCGAAGTCTAATGCATCCAAATATTGCACAATTTTTTGTCTCGAATTAATTCTTGTAGAATCTTTAATAGCGCCTCTTCTAAAAGAACATTTGACCACAGTCGAGATATGCACTAAATAAAAATAATACATTTTTCACATTTTAAACTGGCATTTGATATTCAGTGTAAATATACGAAAAGACGCAGCACTCTTAGGACTTTCTCTCTATATAAATATATTAGACTACTAATTAAATGAAGTATAATAACAAAAACAAAAGAAAATATTCATTGCTATTAGACATATATTTCAAGAATCTCTTCTTGCACATTGACTTTCGTAGGGAAGGTCTGTTGAGTAAGTTGTTCAACTTCAGCAGCGAATCGACATCTTTTTCGTATACGTGCACCATATTTATAGAAGAGAAAAGGGAATGGTGCACAAATCAATGTTAAAAAAGCTATGATAGATGTCGCCCAATGAATTCCTAATTTGTCATACATTTGTGTTGTAAATAAAACGAAAGCTGCTCCGAAAGTATAACGAATAATCATGTTGGCTCCTAATGTTGAAGCGGCATAAATCGTATAGGCATCAATTAAGTAATTGAAGATACCGACAAAAATTGCATTGATACCAAAGCCAAATGGTACCGTGGCGAGAACTGAGACGATCCAGTGAACAGATGGAGAATTACTCCAAGCAAACCAAAATAATCCAGCAGGTAAACAAATGGAGCCAACGATAGCTGGTGGGAGACGAAGTTCCGGTGGAGCATGTCCGTCATGGCTGTTCTTTGCACTATTATTGTATCGAACATTGTCCAATAATGAATAGATCGTGCAAAGCACTACGCCAAGTAGAATACCGAGAAAAGGTAGTTGACTGATTCCTTCACTCCAGTCACGTTTCTCTTCGTAAACAATTGGAAAAGCAGCAACAAACATATTGAGAATTCCAAAAATAATCGCCATATAGATGGAAAGAAGAAGCACAATCGGTTCACGAAATAGAATAATCCATGGACGGAAAAGAGAAGTTTTCAGAATTTCACGAAATTTCGGTAAGTGCTGTGCTTCAAATTTTGTGCGATACACCTTTTTGCTTGCGTCTGATAGTTTAACTGCTCTTTTATGTAGAAGAAGTGGATTATAGGTTTCCGGTAAAAACAAGCACATAATGATCCATAGTATTCCATCCAAAATGCCCATCACTCCTTCAACCCAACGCCAACCGACAGTTTCACCCATGAACGCTCCAACGATAGGTCCTATTACTATACCTAAGAATGTTGCTGCCACAAAGATAGATAATGGTATACCACGTTCAGCTGCGTCAAATAGATCAGCAATGACACCTGCAGCATTCACCATTGATGAAGCACCAAAGGCTCCAGCAAAAACTCTTAAAATAATCAATGTCCATATATTTTGTGAACCTGCCGTAGCAGCATTGAATACCGTTAGTATACCAAATGTGAGAATGAACAGTGGTCGTCGGCCAAACATTTCGGAGAATGGCGCCCAGAATAGAGGCGTAATTGCAAAGCTTAAAGAAAATAATGATAAACCAAGGATGACGAGTTCGCCATCTGTATCAAATTGATTTTTAATTTCATTAAATGGACCAATATAAGCTGACGTGACAAATCCAATAGAAAAACCTATGTTGCATGTAATCAATATGAGAAAGAATTTGTAGAGAGTCGGCCATTTCTTAGGATTTTCTGGATCATTATCAAGCCAATTAATGGTAAACGGTGAATCTTTCGTACCATCACCTGGATATTTTTCTTTTAATAGGGTAAAAGTTCCTAATTGTTTCACCTTCCATGGTAACCATGATCTGATCATATCACTTCCTGAAGCACTATTCGTCGATAAATCTGGTAGCATGTTGTTATAGGAGAATTTGCTTGTTCTTGCATAGACAACAACTATTGGTCTCCTTATATAGGCGTATAACCTTCGTACGGAAAAGGTAACGCGTTGGTGTGTACACTGTTCTTTCGAACATGTTCTATACATCACCGTCTAGTGATCATTATTTATTCATTCTCTTGTTTTTCATAAAGGTAGTTGAGGTTGTCAGCGATATACTTTCATATCGAGAGAAAACACGTGTTACGGTGAATAAAAGTAATGGCTAATCAAACTATGATGATGATCGTAACATCAAATAAAGATTTAATTCGTCAAGTGTCTTTGAGTAACGCTTCCGATACACACATTGTTAATTTGGATGTTTTCGCTAATCATTATACTCAATCCAAATCAACTCAAGTTTCGAAGAAACCGACTGATTGTAGGTGTACTATTTGTGGTGATCGTGCTAGTGGATTTAATTACAATGCTCTTTCCTGTGCTTCCTGTAAAATCTTTTTTCGGCGTAACATTCATCAAAGGGTTAGTTCCTTTTTGATATATTGATCTGACTTTAATGATGTTTGTTTTTTTTTGAAAGGAAAAATTGAAATGTTTGTTAGGCGAAAGGCAATGTTTGGTTTCGTATGGAATACGTCGTCGATGTCCACAATGTCGGTTAGAACGATGTGTGAGAATGGGAATGAGGAAAGATTTTCTACTTAGTGAAGAACGAAAGCAGCAAAGAAGAAAATATTTCCAAGAAACTCGAAAGGTAAAACTCTTCTGAGGTTCATCATAATTTATTTTTTCGTTTTTTTTTATCAATGAAGAACGATAGTGTTTATTTAAATCAACTGAATTCTACAACAATAGCAATATTACCCGACGACGATTTAGTTCTAACTGAAAACCTTCGATCCTTATTTTTACTCATTTTTGAAAAATATGATGTTCAATGTGCTTGTGTCGACGTATCTGACCGTATGTCTGCTCTGATTTCTTGGTCACAATTCGTCAGTCGAGTTGCTTTAAAATTCATTCGTCTGTTACGTCAAATTCATCAATTCGAAGATTTATCTGAAGATGATCGTTTTATTCTCGTTAAATACAATGTTTTCTCTCTCTGTTTAATGTCGAAATGTTTTTATTATAAACCAGAAGATGATTGTTGTTCTAATGATGATTGTGAATTATCTCGAAGACATCGTCGATTTTTTATGTTATGTGGTGATACATATGGAATTCGCGACACTTTTGTCGATATGGTACTTTTACTTGTCAAAGTAACGGAACAAGATCCAGTATTCTTATCTCTTCTTTCAATAATGTTACTTTTCACTCAAGGTTTATCGATGAATGAAAATGAACCAACATTGAATGATTCATTGGCTGTCAACCGAGCTCATTGTTATTACACGGCATTACTTTGGAAATATTTGGTTGGGAAACGAGATGAAATTCAAGCGCGAAAGCAGTTTATTCATTTAGTTACTTTAATTATTCGGATTCAAGTGGCAGGCAAAAAAATTCGAGATTTTTTCTCTGAAAAAATGATGACCACAGACATAATGCATAGACTTGCGCCACTTATGCAAACACTTCTACATAGGTCATGATTTTGCGTTTTTTTTAAATTTACTTCCAAATCTAAGAAGTATTCTCACTGCATCTATATTAGTTTCGACGAACTTCAATAGCATATAGTCTAGAGAAGAAAAGCTGTTAGTATAACTCTTATGGGATTCAAATGTGAAACTCGACTCGTTCTGCATGAGACAACTGCGCACATTATATAAATAATATACGTTTAGTTGTTTATTTACAGCGTGAAGGGAGAGATTGGTCAACAGGGTCAAATGGATCCGAGTTATTTGATCACAAAAAGATTCTGTCGCGATAAATAAATTACCAATATTATGTTAAACGTTCTTCTTTCGTCTGTAACCTAGATACGCTTTCGGTAGATGGAAAGAAAACTGATTCAATACGTTTCTCTGAAGTATACATATGAAAGTGAACAAAGCTAATCCTAATTAGATCGAAAAATACATCGGAANTTTGCTTTTTCTGTTCACTTGTCTTTGCCATTGTTTTTGGTCCGTCTTAGACTTCGACGAGAATGATCTCGATTTTTGTCGTGATTTTTTACATAAGTTGATTTATTTTCCTTGGTGGCGTACGTGTTCATATGGATGGGTCTTAGCTCGTGATGGTGGAATGATTTTAATGAGTATTTGGGCTTTATTTGACATTAGATGCACACTGAATTCCGATGACTGCAGTGCGTACCAATCGCTAACGGTTTGGTACCGTGGTCCACGACCAGCTTATGTTCCTCCGAGATATGTACCAGGACGACAGTGGAGACGCAGGAGAATGGGCAAACTCCACTGTTTTATTCGTCGATTTATCGTTGTCAAAGGAATCTATACTAAACGCCAATCACTTCGATACTTACGGCGACATCTCATGGGAAGGTTATTCTAATGCGCACTGTTATGGTAATAAAATAAAGTTATTGTTGTTTGTGTATATATAAATGTTTCTTCTCGTTATTTTTGTACCCATATACAAAGCAGAAGACTTTATTCAGTTATAAATGTACGCATCCGCATAGTATGGAAATGAATATTACTTTGAAAACAAAACCCATGCTTCTTTCTTTACTGCATTAGATGATGATATGTAGTATATTTGATTGCAGGCACAAAAAGCAAGTGCTGTTCATTTCTTGATCGTTTTCTACGCGAAAGAACGAAAAAATCTTTTCTCTCTGTTGTGCACCAGAGGAGAGAAGATGAAAAGTATTTAAACTATAATTTCCATGCGATCAAATCATAACTGTTGATAACTGAAGTACACGCAATCAAAATGGAGAATTTTATATTTGTTGTCAATGATGGAGAAGCGAAAACTTCCATAAATCTTGAAGAATATTTCATACTTTTATTCATCAGTGAATTTTAATAGATATTCAGAACCGGTGATTGAATGAGCTCTTTAATGAATGATTCAATCAATAGATAAAGGTTTCATTAGTTATAAATTGTCGAATTTCACAAATCGTTGATTTTGATGTGCGAAACTAGCTCTTTTTCAGATAGTGTTAAACATGAGTCTGTGTGCTCAATTGAAGACAAGGAGAATCAAATGAAATGTTTAATCAAACGATCTAATCATTTGATCGATAGAAAAACCTTATCGAATCGAAAATTTTTCACTATTCTGTGCGTGAAGAAAAGGAGAAAGATGCTTGATTTGAAANAAATTGTCGAATTTCACAAATCGTTGATTTTGATGTGCGAAACTAGCTCTTTTTCAGATAGTGTTAAACATGAGTCTGTGTGCTCAATTGAAGACAAGGAGAATCAAATGAAATGTTTAATCAAACGATCTAATCATTTGATCGATAGAAAAACCTTATCGAATCGAAAATTTTTCACTATTCTGTGCGTGAAGAAAAGGAGAAAGATGCTTGATTTGAAATAAACAAATTTCTTTGTTTCGGTAATAAGTGAGCGAAACGAATACTGCTTGTTCTATATGTACATATATGAATTATCCCTGGATACGTCGTGTTTCATTCAGTGTAGTATGATACATGTGCATTTTTCCGAAATCTTTTCTCTCTGTACATTTTCTCCGAGAGAAAACAGATATAATCGCACGAAGTGTGCATGTTTCATTTAACTACGTTCTGCTCACACCATCATCGTTTTTTACTAAAGGTAAAGACACTTACTACATCCTGTCTTTGTATGAAGCTTGAGTTAGTATCCAATTTGAAAAATTAGTTTGAAACCAGAGTGAGGGTGTGCTCTGTATATGAACACCGAGTTTACCGATGTTGTTGCATCAATAATTTTACGATACGAAGTTCCACGAAGTAACTGACTGTTAATTCACTAGAGGTTGGAATCGAAATTGACGTACTTCAAATCAAAATTGATGTAAAGATAAATGTTCAATCATAATAAACGTAAAGTTTTGATGATTACCAATTAAGATCGTTAGGAGTACTTAATTCGAAGGACTTTGCTTGCACAACCAGTATCGTTTGTCTGTTGTGATTCGGTGTACATTTCGAAGGAAGAGTTTTCGATTGTTTGTATAGAGTCTGTCAAACTTCGTAAGAATATGTTTCTTTGATGAGACTTCCGTCCGCCAGTACGTTGGTTTCCCTGTTGATTTGAATGAAAAAAAGCTATTCCGTTGGTTGTTGGATACAGTAAATGATGAGAATGATTTTTGTCATGAATTTGAATCCAACGAACGTTTGTGCATCTTAGCTAATAGGAGTTATTGTGTAATCTGCCTTAATTTGACAGTTCGTATGGCGAATAATGAATAAAATCATCTTTTAACAATTTTAGCAAATGGCTTCTAATCCATCTGGTGCAAAATTGTCTCGAGAAATGTTGGAAAATCAAATAAGAGCCTTGAGGGTGGATAATGCAATACTTCGGCGACAAGTTCTCGAAGCAAAGTCACATGCGGACGCACAAGAAAGGCATTTAATCCATTTACGGCATCGAAGCCAACAGCGTCGAAAAAATAAAGAACAACTTGTGTCTGCGCGTGATTGGGTGAAAATTGCTCAATATGTCACAGGTGTTCTCACACTTATCCTTGGAGTTTATGCAGGTGTACCTGATTTCATTAACTCGTCCACGTTTGATAATTTTCCAAAAATGTTTCGATATTATTTTGTTTGGAAAGTTAACGAGAAGTTATGTGGTCTCATTGTTGGCTGTGTGGGATTTTTAATATCCATACCTGCTCAAAGGACTTTTCCAGCTCCAATACGTGTGTTCCGTTTCCTGCAAACTTCGAGCTGGAAACGGTCAGGAACTGATCGGATATTTCCTGTGCAATTCCGGCTGGAATCGGCGAAAATTGTGCCGGAATCGAGAAGAGCTGTACCGGAACCTACTAAGATTCCAACGGATCCAGTCGCCGGAATGATCGACCTGGGTACGAGTCATGTATATATGTAATAGTACAGGTGTTTTCCGATATAATCATATTGGGAATATCCGTTTGATCAGATATATATATAGACCACATTTCTTAGCTTAAGTGTGTGTGCTTTAGTTGTTAATTTTCATTTGCTGTTCGATTTTAACAATAAAAAGTTTGCTTACACTCTTAAAAGGATTTAAAACTTGGTTTTCTTGTTCTTTGTCTGTTGGAGCTAGATCGCCAACGACAACAGGTGAGTACTCGAGGTAAAGTAATTTTGCTTGATCTACTCCAATTAGTGAAGTTTTAACGGTCCAGATCGAACTTACCCCATCGGACCCGATAAAATTCAGTATTCTTCCGGAGAGGATCAGGCAGTCAGATTACTCGTCCTGAGGAAAGTCATCAGTTGATTCAAAGACTCTCGACTAAATATCAGAATACTTCTCACACGCAGTCAGAAATGTTACTATATCAAGAAGATATTGTGGTACTGATGATGGAGGTATTGATATTGGTACATCGACAATATTAGATCAAAGGTTGTCCGAGATCTTTTCTTTATAGATATGAAAGACCAAGGTTGTGTCTGGAAAACAATCCTGTTTTCAGCATACTCACTTGCTTTATACAGACACTTTCAGAACCTTAATGATATTCAAAAGACAACTAAGGATATCATTTTTTCATCGTAAGGCAATGAAAGAAACATAAGATTGAATATAGCGTCAGTTTCAAAACTTACTGTATTATGAAAGATTTTTCCTGGTGTATAATGACTGCCCAGGTCAACAAATCCGATGCTGGATCCGNGTGTCTAAACTATCGTTGTACCATAATAATTTGTCAATTTGTTTTCCTGCCACGATGTACGCTTCATAACATTGATTATACGTTTTTGTATCACGCATAATTTTCGATAATTCCATACATGCGCGCATCGCTGCTAAGTGCATAAACGAATTAAATGTTGTCGTTGGATATTGACTCAAATATGGTATATCATAAGTACACTCAAGATTTTCCGGTAACCCGATATTGGATGAAACACTCAATTGCCATTGTATGCCAGCTGAAACATGTGGATACATATCATTTAAAAACTTCGTATCATTTGTCCATCGATATAATTCCAGAGTTTCCAGAATAAATATCGATGTGACATCACCCATTCGTCGACCACCATGGGTATCATAAGATTCAGTATCTCCTAGACAACCGACAGTGAAAGTCTCTTGAATCATTCCGTCTGGTTGCTGGTATTTCGCCCATTGGTACATTTTGAGTTTTTCTGTTTCGGGAAAATAGAGAATGTAAGGCAAATGACGCTGATGATCATTGTGTACGCTATCAACATCGTTACAATCAAATGCTTCCCATTGCCGCCAATCGCCATTGGAAAAATACATTGCACTACGCATATGCGACACGCTATTGATCAATGAATCGATTAAATAATCGGGCAAACTTGAGTTCGAATAGATATTATGTAGACTTAAAATATCGTTGACAATCACTTCCAGTTGTTCTTCATTACCAATAGATTTCGCTACATCTGTCACATTCGTGAATAGTAAGGAATAGTAATTATCCAATGGTAAATCTAACCAAAAATGATGTGGAAAATACCAAGCGAAGAGAATTGATAAGGTTTGTTGTTCTCCCGGTTGTAGAGTTGTGGAGACAGAAACAGCTCCATGAACACCAGCAGATTGCTGGATGGGTGTGTCATCCGACCATCGACCATTTTCAGCAAACTTGTTCAATAAATTCTCAATGTTATTATCAATCGTGACGGACATGGTTCGATTCGATGATAAATAAGGCCATAACAAGAATTGACCATTTGCTGTTGCACTTCCAGGACGATCTAAGACTAGCGGACATGGTTTATCAAATGACCATTGACCACGTACACCACTGACATGACCAGATAAATATTCATTGTAAGGAACATCGCTATACAATGAACATGTTGGATTATTATTCAGAATTTGCCAATTCCAAGACGCACACGAAGGATTTTGATGACAGAACACGATACAATCAGTGTAATTAGCCGGAGTTATTTGTTGAACGATGTGATTGGATTGTCGCGTTTGATCGATTTGAGCGGATAATGGTAATGTTGACATAAAATCGATGGAAATCGGGTAAGGATTTAGATTGTGTACATTCAATGAGAAGATAATTGCAGGTGTCAATGAACGATTCAAATCCGCAACCTTCAATACTGAATAAGCATAAAGGTCAAGATCGGCTTTCAATGATTCATCGACTAACTCTAATTTACTGACGGGATATGAACCATGATATTTGATCGTTTGAATTCCTTTGATACTGTGAGTTGGATGTGTACGAATCAATCGAGTATCAATCTCTTTTGTATCTAAATTCGTGATACGAAAAGCTAATAGAGCGTCATTGATAAATCCTAATTTCGCTCCTGTTGCGGGTGATTGATTTTCGATCGTCCATTCGTGAAATGTTCCATCACCACGTAATTCAATTGAGCCCGTGGTAATTCCGCCAATTGGTACTGCTGATCTCAATCCAGAGGGAGGATGTTCAAACGGAAACGTTCGATTCATTATTGCCGAAATGATATTTGGATTATGAACAGATTGCGGAGTGTATGATTTCAAATAACAGCATGGTCTACCTTGTCGACAATCGTTGAAATCGGACGGAGCAGCTGATGCATAGGACCATGAAGTACATGATGCATAACGACAGCATAGGGTGTTACATTCAGATGGATCAGCAGCCGATGGTATGATCGAGAGAAAATCTGCACCTGGTAAATCAGTTTCAGCCAAGATTGGATTTGAATCGCATTGTAATGGTTGATCTGGATTTCGTTTATATAAATAAGGTCGAGAGTATAATTAATAGAAGAGTTTCATTTACTAAACAGTTTTCATTTTCTATATATTTTCCATTGAGTGTTCGTATTCGTATTAGAAACATTATTTAGCTGGATTGCTCGTATTGCGAACATGATCCCTAATACGAACAAATCCACTTCTCCAATTTATATCGCTAATTACTCAGTTAATTAATGAGATAACTAATTGAGTCTTACATCATCCGATGCGCACAATGCGTCTCTGCCCAAAAATGTGAAAATAATTTTTTAATGTGGAGGAATAACTGCGAAAAACGCAAAATAATAGAGGCTGCTGACACACATGTTCGAATTAGGCACATCGCCTCTATACATATAAAAATTGTTTTTGTCAGGGATTGGGTAGTTACTGAGGTGCTGTAACACATTGAATGTCTCATATATGAATATAATTTAGCATATTGTTTATACTTCGATGTTGAAATGCAGTTTTAGCCTATATCTACGGAATTATGTGGACACTACTCAACACATTAATTAATATTAAAGTGTTTCCATTAAACGATTCTTTTTCTAACACAGAAGAGACCAAACTGCACATACAATATGAGAGTTATTGTAAACGACATAACTGCTGTTTTATTGTCTTTTAGTTGCGTGTCACTATGGTGCGGCTCTTGTACATCGACATTTTTGGTGTAATATCATAGTTAACGGTATTTAAGCTTATCTTTCTAGCATAATCAGATGCATTGGGTTTTCTTAAGTACTCAGGACATATGCACCCTATCGGATCACTCGTTCTGGATACTTTTGTTGACCAGTCAGCTGGTTTTCTCTGTGTTCCACTGAATATCTTTGTTGGTTCGGCCGTGTTCACATTCGCTACCTGACTTATCATAGTACGTCTGTTTACCTATTATAAAACGGAACAGTGATTCACAAGTAAAAACTATAATGAAACGCCATAAAGACCAGGTTTCGATGTTTTTGGCATCTGGAATTATGTTTTGATATAAGGACTGAGCCTATCAGCCTTTTAAATCTCTGGCTACACCACTATTCTATACGTCGGATATGTGCAAAGTACAAGTTTCTTTCATTTTACTATGACAAAATAAATATATGCACAACAAATAAAGCGTAGAATAAAAAGTATTTGTTGACATATTAAAATACTCATTAAAAGAGTAATTTTTGTAGGAAAGAAGTTTCAATGAATGTCTTGAGGAAAACGAACCACACAAGTTCATTAGTTACCAATAATTGAGACTTATGGATTTACCTGCGAACGTCTTAATGCATAACGTCGAAAGACTGCAACAAATCTTGGTACGACAATCTTTAAAATTGTAATCAAGCCACCAACTAGACCAACCAAAGTTGTTATGATATAAATCGCATCGTTCCTTGCTTGATAACTATACGTACACCGCAACGGACTACATTCACTGTAATACTGATTGTACATTATATTGAGATTCCATTCTTCAATCATTAGTTGATTGATTAGCTCTTGTACTGATGAATTTATTGTGTAAAGACTAGGAGATAATGTATCAATTTGACTGATTTCTATATCACCCATCCACGTATAGAGTGATTTTAAATGATTAACACATTTTTTAGAATAGAAACATTGTAAATTCGAAAGAAGTAATGCTTCAGTAAAATAACATCCAACATTTATTCCTGGTACACTGAATGTGATCGTATGATTTGTGTAATTATAAAATGCTGATTGCATCAAACATGATGATGAATAGGTACAGCTACAATTATCGTATGTAGATGGACGTACAGATATTGCATCACCTCGTTTATACAGCTCATAATTGGTCATCTGTACTGATTGTAAAGCATTGCCATCTGTTGTTTCATGTATGAGGGAGAGAGATAGCAGATAGTCGGCAATAAGGGATGTTCGAAATTGATTGTTCAAAAGTGAAACTTGTGATTGAAACAGATTCAATGGTATAACATATGCACTTATGTACTGATTTTTGTAGAATTTATCTATATTATTATCGATAATTGCTTTAATTGTTAGACAGAACGATCGAAGGCCTTGAAATACTTGTGGACCCATTAAAAGAAAATCTTTGAAGTGGGCATACAGGGGCGACTGGAAGAAGTCCAGAAAATAGATCCAATCTAGTTTTATGAAATCACTGGTGCAAACTTGATGAAATGAATACTGAATACTGAGAATATCTCCATAATTGATTGATATTGTTGAACATGGACATGATAGTGTTTGTGGATACTTTGAATACAAGTTCAAATAGGTCTCCACAGTCGGCTTCTCGACAACGACTGTTTTTGTAATATTTGCCAATGATGTGTATAGGAGAAGAATGGTCACGATGAGAATCAAGAGCATGACAAATAGTTTTGTTGAGATCTTTTGATTTCTCAACTCATGGTCATTTGTTGTTGGAGGAATTGATGGAAATAGGTTAAATTTTTCATAGAAGTTCTTCAAATGTTCTCGAAGTGTCAAAGATAGTTCGCCACTGTTTGTCTCTAGAAAAATGATCATATGTTATTAGTTCCATTCAAAAATAGATTCAGCAGCACAGACAAAGTGATATATTTCTTGTAATAAAGTCCGTATGTCACGACATGAGGTGTGAATCTCTTCGAAAATTCTTCTTACCGATTTTTCGTCCTCGAATAATTTGAATAGATCTCGGCACGACAATTTTGAGAATCGTAATCAGACCTCCAACTAAACCAATTAATGTTGTTACGATATAAATCATATCATTTCTTGTTTGATAACTATACGTGCATTGTAATGGACTGCATTCATCGAAATAGCTACTATAATTAATCATTGAATTCCATTCTTCTATCATTAGATTGTTAATTACTACTTGCATTGCCGAGTTGACTGAATAAAGACTTGGAAACGATGAGTTCAGTGGTGTGACTCGAAGAGTTTGATTTGATTGATAGAACGACTGTAGTTGAGTGATACACGTTTCATTATAGAAACACTCCAGTGTTGATGCAAGTAATGATTCGATAATATAGCATCCAGCATACATTCCTGGTACAGTGAACATGATTGAGTTTGGATTGCTATCATCATAAATCGAAGATTGCATGATACACGCCGACGATAAAGAACAAGAACAGCTGTCATAACTATTTGTATTCATGTGTACATGGTCTGAATGGTAGAACAACTCATAGTTTGTGACTTTGGCAGAAAAGACGGCATTCGTTTGAACTGTGTCTCGTACAAGAGAAAGAGATACTAAATAGCTGTTTGTCGTTGATGTTCGAAATTGAGCGAGAAATGCTTTCGTCTGGGTTTCCAACAATCCTGACGGCAAAAGAAATCCACTGATATATTCATTGGAATAGAATTGATTTAAACTTTGAGATATGGTTGTTTCTAATGATTCGCACAGTATTTTTATACCACGAAAGGTTTCTCCAGATATTAATCGAAAGTCAAGTCGATTCCATAAGTACCAGACAAAATTGATATGTGTCGTAAGATAATTGATCCATTCATCACTGACAAAATCACTTGAGCAAACTTGATGCAATGTGTAATTCATGAGAAAAAATTTACCGTAACTAATTGATATTGCCGAACATGGACAGGATAATGTTTCTGGGAATTGGGAGTATAATTCCAGATATTTCTCGACAGCGGGCGTTTTCACAATTACAGTTTTCGTAATATTCACTAACGATGTGTAGAGAAGCAGAATCGTCATAATGATAAACAGTGAAAGAAGAAATAATCTAGTGGAAAGTGTCTGATTCCTTAGTTCGTATGCATTTGTCGTTGGTGGGGTTGATGGAAATAAATTCAATGTGGAAATAAGATTGTTTATTTTGAAGCAGAAATTTCCATTGCTCCGACGTGTTGAAGATTCTAAATGATAAGAGTCAATGAAGAGTCTATACATACACAGGGAGAGAAAAGATTGTCTATCTATCTGTTTGCTATGGATTCAGTTCCTGTTATATTTATGGTCAGTAAACCTTCTACCATGCTTCTCTAAGTTCAGGAAAACTGACTTTTCTCTATTTGCTTCTTCAATTTATGTAGGGTCTGTGATTAACCGAGCGAGTTTTGCAGCAGTTGCCCCCGCTAGTAGGGTCATGTTTTACATAACGACCTATCTGAGTGATATTCTTTCACTATGGCATGTCTCTATAACTACGTGATTAAATTCTAATAGCCTGAACTTCAGTGTTGTAGCCAAGGGCTCTATCAAGAAGGAGTGAAAGATTCGATCAGGCAGCTTTTATTGACTCTTGATTCCACCCATCGATTTACGAGTAAAAATTATGTAGTATCTTGGACTCTCATTGCACTCTTGTGGATGGACATTATATACACGGTGGCCGTTAAAAAGACATACGCTCACTGATGGTAGACTTTGACACGAAATAACAAGCCATCATACAGTTCGATCCACTTTAGCTCAAAAGTCGTTTAAACATTATTTTTCTGCATGTGCATCTGAGTTGGTTATTCAACGGAAGATTCGTTGAACTGGCCTATCAAAATTTCTCAATCGACTTCTCCCTTCAGTCTTAAATCAAATTCATTTGTCTACCTTCTAACAATATTTGACGTTGTCTCCTACGTCGGATCAGTTTAACGAATCTTGGTACAACGATCTTTAAAATCGTAACTAAGCCGCCAATCAGACCAACTAAAGTTGTTATGATATAAATAGCATCGTTTCTTGCCTGGTAACTATACGTGCACTGCAATGGACTACATTCAGCATAATATTTGCTATAGACTATGCTTGCATTCCACTGTTCAATCATTAATTGGTCAATTAATTGCTGAACGGTTGAATTGACTGAATAAAGGCTTGGAAACGATTGGTTGAGTGATGTTATCTGAACTGTTTGACTCGATAAAGAAAATGATTGTATTCGATCGACGCATGTTTGATCATAAAAGCATTCCAAAGTTGATTGAAGGGTTGATTCGATCAGATAGCATCCGGCGTAGATTCCTGGTACAGTGAACAGAACTGTAGTGTTCGATAAATCGTATATTGAAGATGGAATAACGCATAATGGCGAAACTCCGCAAGAACAGTTACCATATGTTCTTTCAACAAATACCAAATCATCGAAAGTATGGTCTAAAATTGCATCAAAATTTGTCATGTGCGCAGAAAACAAAGCATTCACATGAATTATATCACGTATTTTGATGAGGGAGAATAAGAAACTATTTGTTGTTGATGATCGAAATTGACTAACTGAGGAGTGACTTTGAGACTGGATCATTTGCAATGAAACAACATTGACACTGACATATTGTTTCGAGTAGAACTGACTTAAACTATTTGAGAGTGTAGTGTTGATTAGCTCACAGAAGGATCGAATGGTTTGAAAAGTTTGTCGAGCTATCCATCGGAAGTCTGTAACATTTAGATAGGTATTTTCATAATCAATCGTTAGATAGTTGGTCCATTTCTTCGATATGAAATCACTGGTGCAAACTTGATGAAATGAATACTGAATACTGAGAATATCTCCATAATTGATTGATATTGTTGAACATGGACATGACAGTGTTTGTGGATACTTTGAATACAAGTTCAAATAGGTCTCCACAGTGGGCTTCTCGACAACGACTGTTCTTGTAATATTTGTCAATGAGGTGTATAAGAGAAGAATGGGCATGATAAGAACCAGGAATATAACAAATAATCTCGTTGAGATCTTTTGATTTCTCAATTCATGTTCATTTGTTGTTGGAGGAATTGATGGAAATAAATTAAAATCATGAAGAATTTGTCTCAGTTTTTGCCAGGGTGTAGAAATACGCTCATTCGTATATGTCACTATAGAAAATAAAATGAAGAAGGCAATATACATAGAAATATTTCAACCAACGATAAGAACATCGCTGAGATTTTTTAGTGTAACAAATTTCTTTTAGAAATATTCAATTGAGAATCGATGCAACCTGACAGATCATTATTTCGTTCTTGGAATCTGCCGAAAAAGAAGAATACATACTTTTTATTCGAGTGCGTCGATGCGCAATATGTTTCAACAATGGTTAATCTGAAAACCGGATCTAGAAAAAAAAGCTCTGTTCTTGAATATTTCAGCAGTGTCAACATTCTTCTTTTCGAAATAGCGAATGACATGCGATTCTGAACGTATATAAGAACTTGAAGTATCTAAGTTATGCAGCTAAAAAGATGCTGCTTTGAAATGTTGAAGGAAGTAAAAGTATTGTGCGGAGCCTTTCATTTGTCCTCAGAGTTATACAATTGCATGAAAACTAATTTTCTGTTATTGCCGATGAAAAAAATTGCCTTGCCATGTAGAAGCATCTTTGAACCGCGAATATTACATATGACTAGTGAAGAAAGACGATTGACGTAGTTAAGAAAAGAAAACAAACATCGTAGCAAATGAAAATATCCAGGTCCAANGTTGAAGGAAGTAAAAGTATTGTGCGGAGCCTTTCATTTGTCCTCAGAGTTATACAATTGCATGAAAACTAATTTTCTGTTATTGCCGATGAAAAAAATTGCCTTGCCATGTAGAAGCATCTTTGAACCGCGAATATTACATATGACTAGTGAAGAAAGACGATTGACGTAGTTAAGAAAAGAAAACAAACATCGTAGCAAATGAAAATATCCAGGTCCAATATTCCAAAGAGATCGAAGAAAATTTTGGTTTGCTTATAGAAACTAAATAAGTATTGACTTTAGTTTTTTCTTATAATTTTTTTAAACTCAGCCAATTATCTTTTTTCTTTGGAGAAGAAAATTTACGATATTGTACAAAGACAAACGTCTTTTGACAACATATCTGTACGGGCATACCGCACTATTGTGCACAACATTACTATTTCGGTTTAGCATTAATAATATAATGTTCGATTTACTTTCCCGTCTTTTTTGTTAAGATGCTGTTTTCTAGAGCGTTTAACAAAGATTGGAAGGTTCGCCCTAGAAACAAACAATAGCATCTTCTCATACTCATTTACAAGAGAGGGTTTCAATTTTAGTAACTACATCTACACAAAAATTGGTTTTGCACTTTTAAGTAATAACTTTTTCCAATCTAAAAGAAAGAAGAATATTCACTTCTTTAGTTTTATTGTGTAGTCACCAGGTTTAATGAACTGTTGTTTCTCTTGCAAACAAACATGGAAGTAAGTGAGGATATTTGAAAGACGGCACGAAAAGCCTATTGACTACTAATCCGTTATGATTGTGTTTGTTTAAAGCTGTTATCTATTAAAACATTTTAAAAAATCGTGTGTACGAATGCCTAATCTTCGGTGAATCGACATTTGTTGAATGAGTTTTGGTAAAATAGTCCGTGATTGTGTGTGTCGAGGAAGTATTTCATTTCTAGGAAATTATTATAATATTTATTATTCTGTCCCAGTAACGTTGTCGCTCTAATCCCGTTTTAATCATCATAAAAATTAGATAGAACTTCATCGTTTACAGATTTTATGAATAGGACAATTGAAGTCAAACTCATTTGCGCACTACTCTACTTCGTGAAGCGTGATATCACTTAAAATATTGAAAGAGAAGCATAGCTTGCGTTGTTATTCTCCTGGCTCACAGAGTACTGCCAAAAAGAAAATGTTTTCAGAAAAACATTCATAGTTTTCTCTTATACTCCCAATGACTAGCAGATTTGAATTCACATCTTATTGTATGAGTAGTGTGAGCAACTAGTCCAACATCGTATCATACGTGATAATTTTAACAATGCATCTATACTAGCTTTTGTTTCTGAAATCATTCTGTTTTTGATATAGATGAGTCAAACGCCATCTACTATGAAAACTGAGCCTGTCTCTGTATCCGCAAATCAATTGAAAACAACGGAAAAGTAAAATATATCTACTTGAATCTATACTAACATGATTTTTCCTTTAAAATACACAGTTCATGGAAAAAGATGCTGTCGATCATTGCGATGAGCACTATTTTTGCATGTATTATAACCATAGTCATTGTTTTACCATTGGTATTAAAAAGAAGTAATGAACTACTATCCGGCACCAACCATACAATTATATCCACCACTGGTATGTATCCATGACAAAAACAAATCGATTTCATTCAAAATATGAAAACTTCACTCATTCTTTCTCTATAGCAACCAGTTTTAACTCATCGTCTAATTTATCATACGACTATATGAGTGAGCTAACACATCAAAGCAAAGTATTCTACTCAACAATGTCATCAAGAAAACTCTACTATGAAGCATTAATGATAAATATATCAATGAGTGGAAACTATACATTTACTAGCGTTAGTAGTATTGATACGTATGGTTATCTATACTATAATGAATTTGATCCATTGATGCCTTGTCAAAATCTTCTGCAAGAAAATGATGATATTGCAGATGATGTTTTACAATTTCAAATTCAGTTGACGCTTCAGTCATTTGTAACGTATATTTTGGTAGTTACAACATATCATTCAAATAGAACAGGAAAGTTTTCAATCATCAGTCAAGGTCCGAAGAAAGTCCAAATTATGCGAATGAATTCTGTTCAAATATCAGGTGAGTTTGTAAATAATTTTTATTTAACCAAGTGCAGTGGTCGGTTTCTCTTCTTTGATAGATCTCATCGCACTGATCCATCCTAACGATAGTATCTATGGCGTGTACAATACGACTATGGGCGCTGATAGTACAGCTTCAACAGCAGGTTCAACAGTCGGCAATTATCCCCCAGCAGAACGACCGGAAAATGCGATTGACAACAACACTTTAACGAAATATTTGAACTTCGGCTCATGTATTAATAATGGATATGGAAATGATGAATGTGGTCTAAATACTGGCTTTTATTTAACGTTGAAAAGAGGTTTGTCAATGGTGAAAGCATTTCAAATCTGTGTAGCCAATGATCAGGTGAGACGTGACCCAATACGAATCACGTTAGAAGGAAGTAATGAACAAGGAGCTAATCTCACGTTAGGTAAAAGTTGGACTCTTATATATAATGGATTTACTGGTCTAGGAGTGTCTCCGGCGAGATATGACTGTGCAACAAGACAATGTGTCAACAACTCAATTAGTTATACAAGTTATCGCTTTCTCGTCACTCTGAAACGTGGATCAGATGATTCCGTTCAGTATTCTGAAATACANCGAATCACGTTAGAAGGAAGTAATGAACAAGGAGCTAATCTCACGTTAGGTAAAAGTTGGACTCTTATATATAATGGATTTACTGGTCTAGGAGTGTCTCCGGCGAGATATGACTGTGCAACAAGACAATGTGTCAACAACTCAATTAGTTATACAAGTTATCGCTTTCTCGTCACTCTGAAACGTGGATCAGATGATTCCGTTCAGTATTCTGAAATACAGTTCTATGGCTATTAAAACTTTTGAAGATAGCTATCAACAGACATCCACCAAATATAAATTATTCGGTGGCTTTGGTTCGATCGATGAACTTTAATCAAACATGTTGCTTTCGCCTCATCCTTTTCGTAATTTATATTTATCCATCTCAAATAAACAATCATTTCAAATGTGAAAGACTAATTATGGTTATCAGATTGACCAAGTCCATCTCGAAGGGTGGATACGAAGATATAGAATATAAAATACATTTCACTCATATCTTTTTTCGGTTGTCTTCGAAGAAGTGGTTTTATTAGCTTGAAAAATACCGAATCACGAAAGCATTTCCAATAAATGATTAGAATTTTCTTGCTTGATCCATATAAATCTATTCATAATCAAAATCAACAAACTTTAGAATTTCAAATTCAAAAGGCTACATACTCGATCAAGTGCATATAGTAATTCATCAACCTTTTTTGACAACATGTCAGCCGGATGATAGTACTGTCCAGCACGCAATCGTTCATTTCTTTCAGCGTTCATGTCTTCTTCTGTCATTTTCTTCCAACCTAAACAAACGTTTTCCTATGATCAAAATCCAACCCTATTTGTTCTACCTGTCCACCGCTGAAATCGTTCCAACATAAATGAAAATATTCCATCACTTTGGTCATCAAGAGTTGCTCTTACACGACGAAAATTATCAACAACGATTGATAAAAACATACTTATACAAATAAACACCACGAACACAATAAATAAACTAAAGCAGAATGGACCGAGAAATGCGGCGGCTTCACTCAAGTCATGTGCATCAAATTTCATCAATGTCATTTCAAATAACATTTGTGCTGTTCCTAACAGACTTGCACATTCCGGCAGCTGCGACATAAACAACAAATAAAATAGACAAAGAAATGACATGAACATAATTGCAAACATGAACATAAATGATAGTAGCTCTTTCGCTGAGTGTTTAAGCGTATGAACAAATAAACACAGGCGTGGATTGAAACGACACAATCGAATCAACTGAATTGTACCGAAGAAACAGCAAAAACCCAATAGATATGTCAGTAGATCATTGACATACGATGCGAATTGCAAATTAATGTAAACGTATCCGTTGGTTTCAGAAAACAATTGGCCAATCCGTTGACATTCATTATAGCGCCAAGTATAGATACCAACACTTGTCCAGGAACACACAATCAGTCCAAGTTGAACGTAAGACCAGAAATGATAAAAATATTTCCGTTTCAACTCGATGAATGATCGTAACTCAATCCACATGAAGTAAACTACCAGTAACATGTAAATAATAGTGCAAAGCAATTGAGAACGTGATGTAAATGCTACAAGAAACAGAGAAAACTGAACTTCCGAACCAAAAATAAGAATCGACTACCGTCAAAGCTAATTGGCTCAAATCGAGCTGAAGTGAACACTCCACCTGTGGATAAGAATTCGGCCAGGATTGTCACAGCCGTGAACAATCGAACATTTGGATTATAAAGAGTGAGCTGAATAATCACAGCTCGTGTTTTTTCATCAATCCATCCAAGCGCATGCAGTCGAGAAATATTATTCCGAACATCTATGAAACCACCACGAAATTCATACACATAACCACCGCTTCCATAACTTGCATAAGTTCCAGCATAAATAAATGTATCCAGTTCATCACTAGACTGGTATGTGAATGCTTTTTCAACTGGCGAATCGGACATTCGCGATGTTTCATTAAGCCATGTCGGTGTGTATGAATGTTTATCTTCGTTGAAGAAACTATAATCGGCGTGACATGTCGAAACTATTCGACACTGTTCGGGTTTGACACGTAGTTGTCTCATGGTTGCCCATCCGATTAATCGATGAGATTTATCATTGATAAAACCGCTGAGATTGCGAGGTGGGTCGCCATTGTACCACTTTTGTGCGCGAAGATTATCAACAAAGCTACTCCCCAACCATTGCCAATACTTATCAATCGTCGACACCTACAATCAATTTATACTTAAGATAGAATGAAAGTTGAGAAGGAGAAAACAAACTTCTGTCAAATCTAAATCAGCCTGTCTTGAATTGAGAAAATATTTTCGTAGATGATTGGCCTGTAGGAATGCATTTGAATAAGGATTGGAATAGACGACCATGTAGAGAACTGAGATGAAACATATATACATCAAAATTTCTCGAATGACTGTCCACATGTGAATTTCTTTCAGACGCTTTTGACGAAGACGAATGAGCTCAGCTTCATTCAAGCGGCCAGGACGAATCGAAGATGGACGAGTAATCATCGATTTCTTCTTAAAAAAGACATCATCTATTGCTATCGATGCTGAAAGATATCGGCTTAAACGCGTAACGCGTCACCTCAGAAAATGTAGTATTTATATCATCTTTTTCATCTAATTTACAGTTCGAAATGCGTGAGTTATAAATCAATTCGCATCGGATCTTACTGATTTATGTTCACACATACCTCTAATTGTGTTGTATGATTAAAAACAAAACATTTTCTGTATTTCCATCGAACATTATCAGAATTTTANGTCTAGGAGTGTCTCCGGCGAGATATGACTGTGCAACAAGACAATGTGTCAACAACTCAATTAGTTATACAAGTTATCGCTTTCTCGTCACTCTGAAACGTGGATCAGATGATTCCGTTCAGTATTCTGAAATACAATTCTATGGCTATTAAAACTTTTGAAGATAGCTATCAACAGACATTCATCAAATATAAATTATTCGGTGGCTTTGGTTCGAACGATGAACTTTAATCAAACACGTTGCTTTCACCTCATCCTTTTCATTTATATTTATCCATCTCAAATAAACAATCATTTCAAATGTGAAAGGCTAATTATGGTTATCATAAGATTGACCAAGTCCATCTCGAAGGGTGGATGCGAAGATATAGAATATAAAATACATTTCACTCATATCTTCGTTTCGGTTGTCTTCGAAACAGAAAGTTTTGTCTACGAAGAAGTGATTTTATTAGTTTGGAAAATATCTAATCACGAAAGCGTTTCAAATAAATGATTAGAACTTTCTTGTTTGATCCATATAAATCTATTCATAATCAAAATCAACAAACTTTAGAATTTCAAATTCAAAAGGTTACATACTCGATCAAGTGCATATAGTAATTCATCAATCTTTTTTGACAACATGTCAGCCGGATGATAATACTGTCCACTCAATCGTTGATTTCTTTCAGCATTCATGTCTTCTTCTTCTGTTATTTTCTTCCAACCTAAATAAACGTTTTCCTATGATCAAAATCCAACCCTATTTGCTCTACCTGTCCACCGGTGAAATCGTTCGAACATAAATGAAAATATTCCATCACTTTTGTCATCAAGAGTTGCTCTTACACGACGAAAATTGTCAGCAACGATTGATAAAAACATACTTATACAAATAAACACCACGAACACAATAAATAAACTAAAGCAGAATGGACCGAGAAATGCTGCAGCTTCACTCAAGTCATGTGTATCAAATTTCATCAATGTCATTTCAAATAACATTTGTGCTGTTCCTAACAGACTTGCACATTCCGGCAGCTGCGACATAAACAGCAAATAAAATAGACAAAGAAATGACATGAACATAATTGCAAACATCAACATAAACGATAGTAGCTCTTTCGCTGAGTGTTGAAGCGTATGAACAAACAAACACAGGCGTGGATTGAAACGACACAATCGAATCAACTGAATTGTACCGAAGAAACAACAAAAACCCAATAGATATGTCAGTAGATCATTGACATACGATGCGAATTGCAAATTAATGTAAACATATCCGTTGGTTTCAGAAAACAATTGACCAATTCGTTGACATTCGTTATAGCGCCAAGTATAGATACCAACACTTGTCCAGGAACACACAATCAGTCCAAGTTGAACGTAAGACCAGAATTGACAGAAATATTTCCTTTTCAACTCGATGAATGATCGTAACTCAATCCACATGAAATAAACTACCAGTAACATGTAAATAATAGTGCAAAGCAATTGAGAACGTGATACAAATGCTACAAGAAACAGAGAAAACTGAACTTCCGAACCAAAAATAAGAATCGATTACCGTCAAAGCTAATTGGCTCAAATCGAGCTGAAGTGAACACTCCACCTGATGATAAGAATTCGGCCAGGATTGTCACAGCTGTGAACAACCGAACATTTGGATTATAAAGAGTGAGCTGAATAATCACAGCTCGTGTTTTTTCATCAATCCATCTAAGTGCATGGAGTCGAGAAATATTATTCTGAACATCTATGAAACCACCACGAAATTCATACACATAACCACCACTTCCATAACTTGCATAATTTCCAGCATAAATAAATGTATCGAGTTCATCACTAGATTGGTATGTGAATGCTTTTTCAACCGGCGAATCGGACACTCGCAATGTTTCATTAAGCCATGTTGGCGTGTATGAATGTTTATCTTCGTTGAAGAAACTATAATCGGCGTGACATGTCGAAACTATTCGGCACTGTTCGGATTTGACACGTAGTTGTCGCATGGTTGCCCATCCAATTAATCGATGAGATTTATCATTGATAAAACCGCTGAGATTGCGAGGTGGGTCGCCATTGTACCACTTTTGTGCGCGAAGATTTTCAACAAAGCTACTCTCCAACCATTGCCAATACTCATCAATCGTCGACACCTACAATCAATTTATACTTAAGATAGAATGAAAGTTGAGAAGAAGAAAACAAACTTTTGTCAAATCTAGGTCAGTCTGTCTTGAATTGAGAAAATATTTTCGTAGATGATTGGCTTGTAGGAATGCATTTGAATAAGGATTGGAATAGACGATCACGTAGAGAACGGAGATGAAACATATATACATCAAAATTTCTCGAATGACTGTCCACATGTGAATTTCTTTCAGACGTTGTTGACGAAGATGAATGAGGTCAGCTTCACTCAAACGACCAGGACGAATCGAAGATGGACGAGCAATCATCGACTTCTTCTAAAAATAACATCATCTATCGCTATCGATATTGAAAGATATCTAAAAAGTCAACCTCAGTTTTGTGAAAATAGTCTTCATCTGCTTCTAAACCAATCTGATCATCATCCAGGAATTCATTTGCTTCGCGATCTTTCTGAGATTTTCGACAAAAACAAGTGAAGAAGATCGCCATTACCACGATCTAAAGCGTGAAAAAAGGCGTATAATTCATTGAAAATCGATAACAAAGTCTCGTATTACTTTCAATGGTTGAGTGAAGAGAATCGAGGAAACGAAGCCACTTAATATCGATGTGAGCCATTTTTGTGTCTTTGTATCACCAAATTCAATGCCACGAGCTATGATAAATAGGATCGAAAGACTAACTAGTGTTACACATAAACCATAAGCTATGAATATACACCACCACGGAAAGGTTAATGGTGACTTTCGATCAGGATTATCTTGAAGGGATCCCGTAACTTGCGATAGAGCTTTTCGAACGGGTGAAAGTCGTTTGCGACGGGAGTGAAGTCGTCGAAAGAACTGAACAAGCAGCAAACTTGGAATAAAAGCAAAGAATTCCACAATAATACCAATAACAACCTAAACGTGAATATCCATATAGAAAAAACAATCGACGAGTAATTATAGTCTGACATACCTGTCGAGGAGATATATAAAGCGAACCAAATGATATGCTTGATGCATTTGTTGATTTTGCTTCATTTGATAAATCATAATACATAATATTCAGAAACATGGAAACAAAGAAAAGAACGAAACAACATGTACATCGTTGAACGCGAGTGAATTGATTCGATGGTGGGCGTGAGAAGATTGAAAACCATAAATGACCATCGGAAATGCTATGATACGTTCGCTTGGTTATCACGAATGAGAATTGACGTGTCTCGAGCTCGCCTGCCACAGGCAAGACACGTTCAATTTTGCCATCATCATTCTCAACAGCAAACCATCGTTGACAAATAAAATAAAACGTTTCCATTGTTTGTAGATCACGAACAATTAAATACTTCAAAAACCAGGATGCCGATGAGCCTTTGCCACTATTATCATGCCAAATTCGAACACAGTTCAATAGTCCTAAGGACTTGGGAACACTCATGAGAAATGAATCAACGCCACTTCGCCGAAGAATCCGACGATGAGAATCAGCCAATGTTCGAATCCGAGTTTGATCATCGTTTCCGTGTAAGATGAAGTGTACATTCGATTTCGTCCCAGCGTTTTTTCTACCGCCGGTAAATACGATGATCTGATAGAAATATTGATCCTTTTTGCGATTGTCAGCTAGAATTGTTACACCCAATTTTTCAACGTCTTTTTTGTCATAGTAACGTGCATAAACGATCAAAATAATGTAAATCACAGAAGCACAAATTACCGTCAAGTACACAGTTTTATTCTTCATGAAATCAGCATTGGCAAACACATAACTCCAGTCGACCGCTTTAGGAAAAATAACAAAACCACTTGCAAAAGTTGTTAAATGCGTTGAATGACATTCTGTTTGATAAAGGTTGGTTGGTGATCCAACCAATAACCCATCGGATTTCCATTGTTGGTCGTCGTCCAGATAGTAACAACCCGATGTATAAGCTCTCAATTGATAATTCGATGTAAAATGAAATGGTTCATTTGTAATCGGAAGATTCTCCTTCGATATATTCAAGCATCGTTGACCCATTTCTGTTTCATTCAGTTCTCGGAGACCAAATATCACTGATTGATGACCAGCAGTACGTTGATTATCGACAAAATATGTGTAAATACTCTCATTCGTTAAGTCATTAGGACAGAAAAGTGTCCATCCATCGAGGTCGTTCGTGGAACTGTTCAGTTGTGGTGTTTGATCAAATCGATAGATGAACAGATAAGCAACAGCTATATTCAATGGTTGAATCTGCCAGTGGACCGAAGTGGGAAGTGTTGAAGAGAGATTCAAATAATGATAGTTGAAAATGAGATTATGAGGTGTCGAGTTCATCGAAGTGACATTATACAAAATCATTGATGGAATGAGAAGATTGGGATCACGAGGAATGATCAACTTGATAGAGTGATTAGTGGGTGTTCGGATGGGAATTTCATTTTGATTTTGATCAAGAATTGAAAATGATAATGATCTTGATAGATTTGTGTTGAATGATAATTTGGAATTACCATATGAAGCCAATGGTTGCATCATGGACTAAAACCATTCGTTTTAGAGAGCACATTGAGAAGATAGATCTTACCCGAATGGAGATTTTTTCATTTGCGCCAAGATAAGAACTGAAATTATCTGGAAGTTGAACTTGCCCATATCCGATTTGTTTTGTATATGAAGATGAAAGTGATTGACTAACTTTTGTTTCCAATGACATCAATATCTGTGCTGTGGAGATGTTGAAATCTTGTCCAACATTCAAATTGATGTTCAGTGATGATGTTAATAACGAAATCAACTTGGTCATATCATCGCTGATTTGCTTAGCCAATAGTTTTTGATAATATAGATTTCGATTCTTTTGTATCGTTTCCCACGAAAAATCATCGCCATCAGCAAATAGACCTGAACATTTTCTCATACAGATACTATGGAATGGAATGCAGTGATTTACTTAGCTTAGCCCATTCAAGTTCAAGATTCGTATCATAATCATCGGGAAAATTCGTGCCTCGATCAAAATCTAAATTGAGGATGGCTGTTCGCTGTTGCAACGGTCCATTAACAGCCTAGATACACTAACGTTAGCTTTTATCTTTATTTCGAAAGAATCTCACGCTCAAAAGATTCGCTGCACATTGAAAAAGATCAAGGGAAGCTTGTTGTACATCGTCGTATGACGTTTTTTCTTTCATGGATTCCAAAGTCAATGCTAACTGATAACATCGGTTAGAAGCCGTTTTCTAAATTCAGATAAAATTTGCGAAGAAAGATGCAAAGTTGAAATTTTTTACTAAAGTTTCTCTTGTCAGTTCATTGGTTGCTTGGGTTAATTGCGCTAATGTTGATGCTTGTAATTTGATGTGATTCACTGTTGTTATTAATAGTTGTGGTGTGAACCTGATGAGATAGTCTCGTGCAGCTGCGCGAGAATTTAGTTCCTTATTGTATTCGTCCAATGCTGACTGATTCAATGACATTGATAACTATCAGTTTCAAATAAGTGAAACAAGAAGATTCATATGAGGAGAAAATTACCTGTTGTTCATGCAGACTGTTTAATGATGAAATGACGATGCTTGCCATCGGAACACCGTCTGAAAAAAAGTCTAAAATAAGTTGAAGTTTATTATAATTATAAAAGTATACTTGAGATTGCTTGATCAAGATTTTCATTATTCATTTGATTAAACTGTAGTGAGACTGAAGTAATCACTTGTCCGACTACATTTTGATTTCCACTTGCGAGCAATTGAATAATCGGGTTTCTTGTCGGTGAATGTTGAATATCATTCACTAGACTGATAATAGCCGCTGAATCAGCGAGCACAGTTACAGAAGAAATGTTGTACTGTGTAATACAGTCTAGTTCATCTCGAATATCAACAATCAAATGAAGTAAGGATGTTTGATTATCACCAAGTGGCAGGCGAACTTGAAATATTGGTACTGTCGAATATGCAACGATCATTTTCTTTGTTGAACTATCTGTCCATCCTAATAATGGAAGAACGTTTCATTTAATAGTGAAGATATGTTGGAGTTACCGTAAATAGTGTAATCTTTAATTTTGTCTTCGTCAAACCAATCTGGACATGAAACATCGAATAAAGTGCTTGTTGTTCCATTGAGAGGACTGATTGAACATGAGCCATTTCGTGGTGGTTGATTGATCACAAAATTCAATGAACTTGAACTTGTTTCCGATGTAAAAGTGTAAACGACTTCAAATCGCCAAAGTTCAATATCCGGATTGGACAAAAACAATTGATTGACAACAGTGAAATTACACGTGTTTGTACCTATGAAGATCGATCCGTTTCTATTTTATGAAGGAAAACATGAATTAATTACCGAAAAACCAATTATTCTGATATGATGTTGTTTGATCGAATAAAATCCACCGGGTAAAATTCGTTGTTGAATTCATTGAACCATGGTAGATATTCCACGTGATATTTTGAATTGTCAAACAGCTTCCCATGCAAACTGCAAACAAAGCAACTTGAGTTGTCGGATTAACAAGTTGAAATTCGAGATTTGGCTGACACATTGTCCATATCACACAGCTATAGAATGACGAATTCTTCTATGAAAAATCGAATGAATTGCTTTACCCTATGAGAATCATTTGTGGACGAGTTTCTTCGACATTGACAAGAACGTATCCAGTAGCTTGAAGAGAAGAATTTCGACGATTTTCCATGTATACCATAAATTGATAGGTACGATTGAATTGCAACGTCCCGGCAAGAATTGTCAAAGACGAATTGATGAAATTGTCAAACCTCCATCCTGCTCGATTCAATGACAAACATGACGGATTCGATGAATCATTTCTCATGTCGTCAATTGTCAACAATGAACCCTGCGAATTTGGAAACATAGATAATCCGTATATTCGACAATAGTATTGATATTTCCATGCCTATAGAATGACGATGTAACTTGAAAAGTCTGTCTTTATATGAATTATTCTTACACTAGCATTGAAACTATTTTGATCTGGGTCAACAGAATAACTTCCTGGATCTAACTGAAGGTCTTGCTGATCACCTCGTGTAATCATTGATGTTCCATATTGAACTAAATTTGCCGTTATGCCTGATGGAGTTATTTGAATATAAGTAACCTCAGTGGAAAATAAACTTGGCATTTGAGTCATCGTAACTGTTAATCTGACTTCATATACACCATAAGGTAAAGTTCGCGCAGGGATATACAATTCATTGAATGTTGTCGGAATTGTGGGATCTATGGAAATTTGTTGTAAGCAAGTCGAAGTACAATTCTTCATTGTCCATTGTGAACTTGTTAATAATGAATTATTACAATTCAGTTCAATTATTGAAATTATGGTAAAATCTTGACTTCGACGAAATTGCGTTGGTGATGATAGTGTTGATACACTGGGAATAAGTATTACTTTTGGAGAAAAGCATCCTAAGAATAAATCGGACGGTAAAATCTCTTTCATATACATCAATCATTTATCGTCTTAATGATTGAAATTAATCTAATTAACTAACCTGTCTGAGCTTTCGCACTAGATTGGCTAGTAGTAAAGGGAACTTTTGTCGTGAGTAGCTCAGCACTAGTTTGGATCTTTGTAGTAGCTAGATCAGTAGTTGTCTGAACATTTGTTGTGGGTAGACCAACAGTCGTCTGGATCTTTGTGGTTGATGGGCTTAGAGTTGTCTGAAGCTTTGTGGTAGGTAGATCAGCAGTCGTCTGGATCTTTGTGGTTGATGGGCCTAGAGTTGTCTGAAGCTTTGTGGTGGATAGGCTCATTGTAGTCTGGATTTTTGTGGTTGATAGGCCGATAGTTGTTTGAAGCTTTGTGGTAGGTAGATCAGCAGTCGTCTGAATCTTTGTGGTTGATGGACCTACAGTTGTCTGAAGCTTTGCGGTTGATAGGCCCATAGTTGTCTGAAGCTTTGTGGTAGGTAGGCTCATTGTAGTCTGGATTTTAGTTTCACCTGTTTAAGAAGAAAAAGTAATCCATTGAAGGAAAGGAGAGATAGAGTATTTTCTATGTGTTCTCAGGTTTTCAATCATTCTATGCTCCGGGTAAACTATTTCCGAGTGATAAATCTGTGACGAATATTCTAAGCATTTGCATACGTTGTTAACCGAAGACTGTTATACTGTATGAAATTGTTTTTGAAAATAACTTATATTTGCATTATAGGACAAGATCAACCCAAGAATGGCAATGATTGTTCAGATATGGTATTCAAAGTACACGTAATATTTTCGCATTAGGTATTTTACCTTTTGTGGTAATTTCTGCTGTTGTTGTTAACCAATCAGTTGGTGCTATAGTAGTACAGTAGCGTAATCGGCACGCTGGCGGTTGACTCAATTGATAAACATAGTACGATCCACAATTGGTGACAGAAATAGTATTATTCCAATTGCAATAGCTTCCTGACCATGTAAAACATACAGTTCCGTTCACAGTTGTGCCCGAACTAAGGGGCATTTCTGATGAATACCAGCCCGGTGCATGAGTCGTGCAGTGATAGATTTCCACTGGATCCGTTGTCAGCTGCGAACCGCCAGCGCCAACAAATCGAAACCACATTGGAACAGTAGTGAAAAAGTCTCGATCACAGGTGTAATTTCCAGTATCGATTGCATTAACGCTTCTCGTCAGATCATCTATCAATGTGTAGTTGTTACATTGAGGAGAGCTTAGTATTGCAGCTAAATAGACAACATGTGCTCTTAGATTACGACAGAATCAAAATTTCTTGATTATCCTGACCTGATTCGTTTTGTACAATCATCGTAATGAACCAAAACTTTACAAGACTAACGGACAACGAGTATAGCACCCGCATGTTGCCACTATGTTGATATAGAATGATATCGTTATTTCTTTCGTTTCAGCAGCATTCCAAAAGGAAATGGAGTTTTTAAATATCCGGAGAATGATAAGTTGTACTATTTCACAGCTTTATGTATGCTGACAATGGAGATACTTATTACATTTCCGTTCATTTATACAAACATGATTATTTGAGTAGTTTAGAAAAACTCAAATGATGTATATCATGCTTTTTCATTCGACTTAGTGATCTCCTACTTTTCTTGTTGTTATAGTTTTGCATTATTTTCCATCCTTTATAACATGCAAGAACGAATGCTTCATTTACAATACTGTCTGATGAAAACGTCTTCAGTTGCAAGAGAAATCGAACCGAGCTATTTTTATACTTCTGTTGTCCATGTATGTGTAAAGAGAAAGACTTTATCCAAAAATATTTTTTGTAAAACACTTTTTCTCTTCTGTCTATGAAGTGTATGTTATAGAAGTACGGGAGAGAACAGAAAAGAAATGTTGGAAAAAACCAAGCAATTTTTATGTTGCACCTGTGATTCACAATAAGTATTCAACATCTTTCAGCTCTGCTACCATTTATGGTGAAGTACAGTATGGATGAGTCAAATGAAAATATGGTGGATCAACATTGCACTATGACAAAAATAGTCGATTCTGCATCTGAGATACTTCCACCATTCTCACGAACTTTTGATTCAACGAAAGATTGTCCGAGACGAATCAAACTTGAATTGTATCAATTAGTGTGGTTAATTTCATCTCCTCCGATGTTCAATAGTGAACAAATCAATGAGAATTTAATGTTTGAAAGGTTTACAAATGTTGTTGATAAAACAATGATATTCAACAATATCGACGAATGTTTAGCCCATCTACAGCAATCGGAGCAGGATGGTTTTATAACGTTTTTAGTATGCTGCCATTCGCTTAACGATATGTTATTTCCTCAACTAGTTGATTTACACAGCATTCAATCGATCCATGTTCTTCGTCAAAATCAACATGAACATGGAAGCGAATTTTTCAAAACTGTAAACGTCTATGATTCATTAGAAAGTCTGATATTGAACTTATCAAATAGTCTGAATAACTTCAGAAAACACGATGATAGAATAGTTTTCACCCGAATCACAAATAAATCTGATATCGAAGAAGAAAACACAACGGATAAAGAATGGTCCTGGTGGGTAAGATTTATTGAAATTCTAGTCCATCTTCCATATCCAATCGACTACTGTCGGCAAAAATTCAATCTACTAAAAGAACACTACATCGGAAATAATACACAAACCAATTTAATCGATGAATTTCAATTGAATTACCAACCAGGCAATGCCGTCTGGTGGTATAGTCGTGATACATTTCTCTATCGTCTACTTAACCAAGCCCTCCGAAAACACAATGTTGAATTGTTATTTTTGTTTGGCTGGTTCATCCAAGACCTATACAANTGTTGTATGATTAAAAACAAAACATTTTCTGTATTTCCATCGAACATTATCAGAATTTTAAAAGCAAAAAGCATCGTGTCCCTATCCGAAAGATGCAAATTTTGGGATTTGTACCTGACTTCCGGACACATATAGATTTGACTAGCATCGAACAGTTCTATGATATCGAGAGCCCTCACATAGACGTTTAAAACGTAATAAGTATTGGTTGACATATATACACCAAGATGAGAAAAAAATAGGTCCAAACTCAGCGAAAAAAACACCATCATCGCGTTACGAAGTCGTCATCGCGTTACGTTAATGAGATGTAGATATCGACTAACAGTGAATGATGTTTGGAGAATTTTCTTCTCTCGTCAGGTAGACCAAAGTGTTTTCTAATATCCACGACGGACACAATTTTGTAAGAGTAAAACATAGGTAGAGAAAAACAAGTCACAAGTGAGGCACCCTCAGTTTTTTGTCTTTTTTTCGTCATCGTGTTACGCGACGTATTTCAGCTATAACTTCCGAACGGTGCATTCAAACGAATCGATTTTTTTAAGATTGATAGATGGCTATGAGGTACATATTCTGGCAAAAAAAGAAAATTTTTAAAGGCACTAGTCTAGGAGAAAAGATGCGTACACTCTGGCCAAAACGTCATCGCGTCACGCGCGTTTATGCCGATATCTAAAAGGTCTACCTTATTAGTTTTGTGAAAATATTCTTCATCTGCTTCTAGACCAATCTGATCATCATCCAGGAATTCATTTGCTTCGCGATCTTTTTGAGATTTTCGACAAAAACAAGTAAAGATGATCGCCATTACCACGATCTAAAGCGTGTGAAAAAGGCGTATAATGCATTGAAAATCGACAACAAAGTCTCGTATTACTTTCAATGGTTGAGTGAGAAGAATCGAGGAAAAGAATCCACTTAGTATCGATGTGAGCCATTTTTGTGTCTTTGTATCACCAAATTCAATGCCACGAGCAATGATAAATAGAATCGAAAGACCAACTAGTGTTACACATAAACCATACGCTATGAATATGCACCACCACGGAAAGGTGAATAACGATTTTCGATCAGGACTGTCTTGAACAGATCCCTTGGCTTGCGATAGGGCTTGTCGAATGGGTGAATGTCGTTTGCGACGAGGACGAAGTCGTCGAAAGAACTGAACAAGCAACAAGCTTGGAATAAAAGCAAAGAATTCCACAATAATACCAATGACAACCTAGGTGTAAATATCTATATAGAAAAACACTCGACGAGTTACAGTCTGACATACCTGTCGAGGAGATATATAAAGTGAACCAAATGATATGCTTGATGCATTTGTTGCTTTTCCTTCATTTGATAAATCATAATACATGATATTCAGAAACATGGCAACAAACAGAAGAACGAAACAACAGGTACATCGTTGAACACGGGTGAACTGATTCGAGGGTGGACGTGAGAAGATTGAAAACCATAAATGATCATCAGAAATGCTATGATACGTTCGCTTGGTTATCACGAATGAGAATTGACGTGTTTCGAGCTCACCTGCCACAGGCACGACGCGTTCAATTTTGCCATCATCATTCTCAACAGCAAACCACCGTTGACAAATAAAATAAAACGTTTCCATTGTTTGCAAATCACGAACAATTAGATACTTCAAAAACCAGGATGCCGATGAGCCTTTTCCACTATTATCATGCCAAATTCGAACACAGTTCAATAGTCCTAACGACTTGGGAACACTCATGAGAAATGAATCAATGCCACTTCGCCGAAGAATCCGACGATGAGAATCAGCCAATGTTCGAATCCGAGTTTGATCATCGTTCCCGTGTAAGATGAAGTGTACATTCGATTTCGTCCCAGCGTTTTTTCTTCCGCCGGTAAATACGATGATCTGATAGAAATATTGATCCTTTTTGCGATTGTCAGCTAGAATTGTTACACCCAATTTTTCAACGTCTTTTTTGTCATGGTGACGTGCATAAACGATTAAAATAATGTAAATCACAGAAGCACAAATCACCGTTAAGTACACAGTTTTATTCTTCGTGAAATCAGCATTGGCAAACACATAACTCCAGTCGACCGCTTTAGGAAAAATAACAAAACCACTTGCAAACGTTGTTAAATGCGTTGAATGACATTCTGTTTGATAAAGATTAGTTGATGATCCAACCAATAACCCATTGGATTTCCATTGCTGATCGTCGTCCAGATAATAACAACTCGATGTATAAGCTCTCAATTGATAATTGGATGTAAAATGAAATGGTTCATTTGTAATCGGAAGGGTCTCCTCCGATATATTCAAGCATCGTTGACCCATCTCTGTTGCATTCAGTTCTCGGAGGCCAAATATCACTGATTGGTGGCCAGCTGTACGTTGATTATCAATAAAATATGTGTAAATACTCTCATTCGTCAATTCATCAGGACAGAAAAGTGTCCATCCATCGAGGTCGTTTGTGGAACTGTTCAGTTGTGGTATTTGGTCAAATCGATAGATGAACAAATAAGCAACAGTTATATTCAATGGTTGAATCTGCCAATGGACCGAAATGGGAAGTGTTGAAGACAGGTTCAAATAATGATAGTTGAAAATGAGATTATGAGGTGTCGAGTTCATCGATGTGACATTATACAAAATCATTGATGGAATGAGAAGATTGGGATCGCGAGGAATGATCAATTTGATAGAATGATTCGTAGGTGTTCGGATAGGGATTTCATTTTGATTTTGATCAAGAATTGAAAATGATAATGATCTTGATAGATTTGTGTTGAATGATGATTTGGAATTCCCATATGAAGCCAATGGTTGTATCATAGACTAAAGCCATTCGTCTTAGAGAGCACATTGAGAAGATAGATCTTACCCGAATGGAGATTTTTTCATTTGCGCCAAGATAAGAACTGAAATTATCTGGAAGTTGAACTTGCCCATATCCGATTTGTTTTGTATATGAAGATGAAAGTGATTGACTAACTTTTGTTTCCAATGACATCAATATCTGTGCTGTAGAGATGTTGAAATCTTGTCCAACGTTCAAATTGATGTTCAGTGATGACGTTAATAACGAAATCAACTTGGTCATATCATCGCTGATTTGCTTAGCCAATAGTTTTTGATAATATAGATTTCGATTCTTTTGTATTGTTTCCCACGAAAAATCATCGCCATCAGCAAATAGACCTGAACATTTTCTGATACAGATACTATGGAATGTAATGCAGTGCTTTACTTAGCTTAGCCCATTCAAGTTCAAGATTCGTATCATAGTCATCGGGAAAATTCGTGCCTCGATCAAAATCTAAATTGAGAATGGCTGTTCGCTGTTGCAACGGTCCATTAACAGCCTAGATACACAAACGCTAGCGTTTATCTTTATTTCGAAAGCATCTCACGCTCATAAGATTAGCTGCACATTGAAAAAGATCAAGTGAAGCTTGTTGTACATCTTCGTATGGCGTTTTTTCTTTCATGGATTCCAAAGTCAATGCTAACTGATAACATCGATTAGAAGCCGTTTTCTAAATTCAAATAAAATCTTCGGAGAAAGATGCAAAGTTGAAATATTTTACGTACTAAAGTTTCTCTTGTCAGTTCATTGGTCGCTTGAGTTAATTGCGCTAATGTTGATGCTTGCAATTTGATGTTATTCACTGTTGTTATTAATAGTTGTGTTGTGAACCTGATGAGGTAGTCTCGTGCAGCTGCACGAGAATTTAGTTCCTTATTGTATTCGTCCAATGCTGACTGATTCAATGGCATTGATGACTATCAGTTTCAAATAAGTGAAACAAGAAGATTCATACGACGAGAAAATTACCTGTTGTTCATGCAGACTGTTTAATGATGAAATGACGATGCTTGCCATCGGAACACCGTCTGAAAAAAGTTTAAAATAAGTTGAAATTTATTATATAAACGTATACTTGAGATTGCTTGGTCAATATTTTCATTATTCATTTGATTAAACTGTAGTGAGACTGAAGTAATCACTTGTCCGACTACATTTTGATTCCCGCTTGCGAGTAATTGAATAATCGGGTTTCTTGCCGGCGAATGTTGAATATCATTCACTAGACTGATAATAGCCACTGAATCAGCGATCACAGTCACAGAAGAAATGTTGTACTGTGTAATACAATCAAGTTCATCTCGAATTTCAACAATCAAATGAAGTAAGGATGTTCGATTATCACCAAGTGGCAGTCGAACTTGAAATATCGGTACTGTTGAATATGCAACCATCATTTTCTTTGTTGAGCTATCTGTCCATCCTAATAATGAAAGAACGTTTCATTTAATAGTGAAGATACGCGAGAGTTACCGTAAATAGTGTAATCTTTAATTTTGTCTTCGTCAAACCAATCTGGACATGAAATATCGAATAAAGTACTTGTTGTTCCATTGACAGGACTGATTGAACATGAGCCATTTCGTGGTGGTTGATTGATAACAAAATTCAATGAACTTGAACTTGTTTCCGATGTAAAAGTGTAAACGACTTCAAATCGCCAAAGTTCAATATCCGGATTGGACAAAAACAATTGATTGACAGCAGTGAAATTACACGTGATTGTACCTATGAAGATTGATCCATTTCTTTTTTTTTATGAAGGGAAACATGATTTCGTTACCGAAAAACCAATTATTCTGATATGATGTTGTTTGATTGAATGAAATCCACCGAGTAAAATTCGCTATTGAATTCATTGAACCATGGTAGATATTCCACGTGATATTTTGAATTGTCAAACAGCTTCCCACGCAAACTGCAAACAAAGCAACTTGAGTTGTCGGATTAACAAGTTGAAATTCGAGATTTGGCTGACACATTGTCCATATCACACAGCTATAGAATGACAAATTCTGCTATGAAAAATCGAATAAACTATGCTTTACCCTATGAGAATCATTTGTGGACGAGTATCTTCGACATTGACAAGAACGTATCCAGTAGCTTGAAGAGAAGAATTTCGACGATTTTCCATGTAGACCATAAATTGATAGGTACGATTGGATTGTAACGTCCCGGCAAGAATTGTCAAGGACGAATTGATGGAATTGTCAAACCGCCATCCTGCTCGATTCAATGACAAACATGACGGATTCGATGAATCATTTCTCATGTCGTCAATTGTCATCAATGAACCTTGCGAATTTGGAAACATAGATAATCCGTATATTCGACAATAGTATTGATATTTCCATGCCTATAGAATGACGATGTAACTTGAAAAGTCTGCTTTTATATGAATCATTCTTACACTAGCATTGAAACTATTTTGATCTGGATCAACAGAATAACTTCCTGGATCTAATTGAAGGTCTTGCTGATCACCTCGTGTAATCATTGATGTTCCATATTGAACTAAATTTGCCGTTATGCCTGATGGAGTTATTTGAATATAAGTAACCTCCGAGGAAAATAAACTTGGCATTTGAGTCATTGTAACTGTTAATCTGACTTCATATACACCATAAGGTAAAGTTCGTGCAGGAATATACAATTCATTGAATGTTGTCGGAATTGTGGGATCTATGGGAATTTGTTGTAAGCAAGTCGAAGTACAATTCTTCATTGTCCATTGTGAACTTGTTAAGAATGAATTGTTACAATTCAGTTCAATTATTGAAACTATGGTAAAATCTTGGCTTCGACGAAATTGCGTTGGTGATGAGAGTGTTGATACACTGGGAATGAGTATTACTTTTGGAGAAAAGCATCCTAAGAATAAATCGGACGGTAAAATCTCTTTCATATACATACATCAATCATTTATCGTCTTAATGATTGAGATTAATCTAATTAACGAACCTGTCTGAGCTTTCGCACTAGATTCGCTAGTAGTAAAGGGAACTTTTGTCGTGAGTAGCTCAGCACTAGTCTCGATTTTTGTAGTAGCTAGATCAGTAGTTGTCTGGATTTTTGTGGTTGATAGGCCCATAGTTGTCGGAAGCTTCGTGGTAGATAAACCATTAGTAGTCTGGATCTTTGTAGTAGATAGATCAGTAGTCGTCTGGATTTTTGTGGTGGATAGGCTCATTGTAGTCTGGATTTGAGTTTCGCCTGTTTAAGAAGAAAAAATAATCCATTGAAGGAAAGGAGAGATAGAGTATTTTCTATGTCTTCTCAGGTTTTCAATCATTCTGTGCTCCGGGTAAACTATTTCCAAGTGATAAATCTGTGACGAATATTCTAAGCATTTGCGTACATTGTTAACCGAAGACTGTTACACTGTATGAAATTGTTTTTGAAAATATCTGATATTTGCATTATAGGAAAAGATCAAGCCAAGAATGGCAATGATTGCTCATATATGATATTCAAAGTATAGGTAATGTTTTTGCATTAGGTATTTTACCTTTTGTGGTAATTTTTGCTGTTGATGTTAACCAATCAGTTGGTACTATAGTAGTACAGTAGCGTAATCGGCACGTTGGCGGTTGACTCAATTGATAAACATAGTACGATCCACAATTGGTGACCGAAATGGTATTATTCCAATTGCAATAGCTTCCTGACCATGTAAAACATACAGTTCCGTTCACAGTTGTGTCCGAACTAAGGGGCATTTCTGATGAATACCAGCCCGGTGCATGAGTGGTGCAGTGATAGATTTCCACTGGATCCGTTGTCAGTTGCGAACCGCCAGCGCCAACAAATCGAAACCACATTGGAACAGAAGTGAAAAAGTCTCGATCACAGGTATAATTTCCAGTATTGGTTGCATTAACGCTTCTCGTCGGATCATCTATCAATGTGTAGTTGTTACACTGAGGAGAGCTTAGTATTGCAGCTAAATAGACAACATGTGCTCTTAGATTACGATAGAATCAGAATTTCTTCATTATCCTAACCTGATTCGTTTTGTACAATCATCATAATGAACCAAAACTTTACAAGACCAACGGACAACGAGTATAGCATCCGCATCTTGCCACTATTTTAATATAGAATGATATCGTTATTTCTTTCGTTTCAGCAGCATTCCAAAAGGAAATGGACTTTTTAAATATCCGGAGAATGATAAGTTGTACTATTTCACAGCTTTATTTATGCTGACAATGGAGATACTTATTACATTTCCGTTCATTTATACAAACATGATTATTTGAGTAGTTTAGAAAAACTCAAATGATGTATATCATGCTTTTTCATTCGACTAAGTGATCTCCTACTTTTCTTGTTGTTATAGTTTTGCATTATTTTCCATCCTTTATAACATACAAGAACGAATGTATGATTTACAATACTGTCTGATGAAAAAAGTCTTCAACTGCAACAGAAATCGAACCGAGCTATTTTTATACTTCTGTTGTCCATGTATGTGTAAAGAGAAAGACTTTATCCAAAAATATTTTTTGTAAAACACTTTTTCTCTTCTGTCTATGAAGTGTGTGTTATAGAAGTACGGGAGAGAACAAAAAAAAAATTGTTGGAAAAAACCAAGCAATTTTTATGTTGCACCTGTGATTCACAATAAGTATTCAACATCTTTCAGCTCTGCTACCATTTATGGTGAAGTACAGTATGGATGAGTCAAATGAAAATATGGTGAATCGGCATTGCACTATGACAAAAATAGTAGATTCTGTATCTGAGACACTTCCACCATTCTCACGAACTTTTGATTCAACGAAAGATTGTGCGAGACGAATCAAACTTGAATTGTATCAATTAGTGTGGTTAATTTCATCTCCTCCGATGTTCAATACTGAACGCATCAATGAGAATATAATGTTTGAAAAGTTTATAAATGTTGTTGATAAAACGATGCGATTCAACAATATCGACGAATGTTTAGCCCATCTACAGCAATCGGAGCAGGATGGTTTTATAACGTTTTTAGTATGCTGCCATTCGCTTAACGATATGTTATTCCCTCAACTAGTCGATTTACACAACATTCAATCGATCCATGTTCTCCGTCAAAATCAACATGAACATGGAAGCGAATTTTTTAAAACTGTAAACGTCTATGATTCATCAGACAACCTGATATTGAACTTATCCAATAGTCTGAATAACTTCAGAAAACACGATGATAGAATAGTTTTCACCCAAATCACAAGTAAATCTGATATCGAAGAAGAAAACACAACTGATAAAGAATGGTCCTGATGGGTAAGATTTATTGAAATTTTAGTCCATCTTCCATATCCAATCGACTACTGTCGGCAAAAATTCGATCTATTAAAAGAACACTACATCGGAAATATTACACAAACCAATTTAATCGATGAATTTCAATTGAATTACCAACCACGCAATGCCGTCTGGTGGTATAGTCGTGATACATTTCTCTATCGTCTACTTAACCAAGCCCTCCGAAAACACAATGTTGAATTGTTATTTTTGTTTGGCTGGTTCATCCAAGACCTATACAAACAATTGACTGATGAATATGAAAAATTTCGAACAAAACATATCGACAGTCCGAAGCTTACTGTCTATCGTGGTCAAACAATGTCACGTAATGAAATTGACGAACTGGCGAGTTATCGTTTAGCGATAACTAATAGCTTCTTTTCGACAACAAAGCATCGTCAATTAGCAACATTTTATCTGAATTCACTTGCGCAAAGTGATGATCAATTGCAAAACGTTTTATTTGAAGTCAAAATCGATTGCCAAGTTCAAAGTCGATCGTTTGCTGACATATCTCATTTAAGTCATTTTCAAACCGAAGATGAAATTCTATTCATGATCGGAACGCTATTCGAAGTTGGCGAAGTTAATTATATCGAAAACGAACGACTTTGGTTGATTTATTTGGAGTTAATTTATGATGAAAATGTTCAAGACACACGAAGTTTTCAAAGTAGTTCATCAGCGAAAAGGACGCTGAAAAATTGTTTAAGTAAATTATCTACATTTATTCTACCGGAGATCGGAAGTAAGGAACTTCAAACGATCGTATTCGAGAATTTGGTTGAATTATTTCCGCAGGAGGAGAAATGGTGTTCGGCCATAGAATTTAAATGCCAATCGGAACATTTGCGTTTGCAGGGTGAAGAACAAGAAGAATGTCAAAATGAGATTGTATCAAAATATGAAAAAGCCATTGCAATATGGCAGGAGTATCAAGATGATGACAGTTTGAATTGCTCAATTGAACTCGGACAATTATATTTCAGTATTGGTGAATATTACTCAGATGATATGCATGATGATAAAATAGCTGAAAAATATCTCAATTTAGCCAGAGATTGCTTTCTATTAGCTTTAGCAAAAGAGCAGAACGATTATGAAACGATGAAGATTTATGATCAATTGAGCGTTGTGTTTCAACTCAAAATGAAGCCGATGGTGATCGATAATGAAGGTATATACGAAAACTCGGCAGAAAAAATCGAAACGGTATCAATGGCTGCAAAATATAAAGAATCATATATTGAGTATATGATGAGATTCTATCCGTCAAATTATATTGAAATTGGGCAAACGCACGAGTATTTAGCGGGTTTGTATAAATCAATCGGTAAATATGATAATGCATCGATCAATTATGAAAAAGCATTCCGTATTTTTCTACAAAATCCTCATGTTTCCCCTACTGATATGCAGAATCTTGTCGAGGAGATGGTTTCCTTCCATAGTGATGAACGATTGGACTATCAAACAGCTCTTTCCTATCAATTGATGCACCATGAATATATAAAAAGAGCATCAACTATGTCGAAATTACGTGATGTTAATTGCCAAAAACAGATCGCAGCAGACAGTCATGTTCAACTGGCTGATCTTTATTCTTCATTGGATCAGGTGCCTTTGGCAATAGACAATTTAACAGCGGCAATGAATTTATATGCTCAGATCGAGGAAAATATGGCAGACTATTTTCGTAAACAAGAAAATTTGGAATCAATAACAGAAAAAATAACTAAATTAACGAACGCTTCATGTGACGAACATGAGAATAAACGAATGAAGAAAGAGAACCACTGAATAGATTTCGAAGAATAAAATAGTCACAAGAGTATGGACAAGAGCAGTATTAGACATGCTCTTTTTCCTCAGACTCTAGAATAAAATCAAAAACGTGAAATCTGCGGTTAGTTTTCCATCGCTTCGATTATTAATCGTCTCCATACTACAATGCCGCTTACATCTTCATCGAAACGATGATAAGCGTTATCAGCAATGCGCCAATCTCCTGAAATCTTTTCGGGTGCCACACCGCTGGCAGGCTGCTTAATACCCTCCCATCGCCACTTGCATCTGTTGAGGGTGTGGGTAGCGGCCGCATACACGAAATTCACTCACATTCGTCAGGTTCCCAACAAACACAGACATGGGTATCGAGATGGATACACCAAATCCACTCATATTCCTCAGCTTTCCAGGATACTCTTCTATTTGGGTATCGTGTTGGATACACCGACTCAGTTGCATATGGTAACATAGCGAATTGTCTGCTTTTGGATGAATACCGGGTGTAACGGGATTATGACATCACTCCGTGTATCCAAACAGTTTGATATATACCGGACTGGTAAAGACATACTAGGAGTAGCTGTTAGCAAGAGAACGACGTTTCTATGTGGTACACTTTTTGACAGCGAGCTTAACCAAAACTACCTAATTTGTAACATCATTGTGTAACGAAAAAATGAGTATCTGTTTTTACAATCCGTTGGTGCTAACTATGTATGACAAAAACAGGATACCTAAAGCCAGTCTTTCATGAAGTATCTAATTCATGTGCTTCTGCCTGAAAAAAGTTCTTCTTACGATGACTTTGTGTAACGCGATGACACATCTATGCCTATTTCTTCATTTATCTAAGTAAGCGGAGATAACTCTAGATCAAGACTAGTTTTCTGACTAGAGTTACAACTAGAAAGACCTGTAGGAAAAAAATCAGGCCTCGAAAATGTCCTTGAACATCATCGTAAAACTGTTAGGATGATTGCCGAAAAGGCGGGGGTATTTCTTCTTTTTATTATTCATTTATCACATTTGTATATCGTGCTTTTTTTGACATAAGTATGTTTAAATCATAAAATCAAGTCCACATTCAAGATCAGCTAGAGAACTACGTCAAATTCATCGCGTTACATTGATAAAACAGGTCTCTAATACAAACTAAACGTGAACTTGATTTATTTTTCTTTCCTTTGGATAGTCCGAATTGTCGATTACAAAATTTTTATAGAAGATTCCTCTCAATAAATTGTTCTTTCACAGAAAAATGAACAGTGATCAGTTCACACTCGATTTTTTGTCCCAATTCCGTAATCGAGTTTTACGCAGTATTATTGTCATAATTTTTGAACAACTATGCCAAATGAACTGAAGTTTTCAGGGATAGTTAAAGAGCACAGCGATGCACCATTTGATGAAAGAACCGCACTCATGATGTTTTATCTTTTGAGAAATATCAAAAAGATTGGACAAACGATAACCACGTTACATTTGTGAAAGCCGATATGTAACCGGATTTGATATCATGAAATAGTCGCTATCAAGATTCTGAAAGAAATTGAGCCTTTTATTCTTTTTAATGCATTCAGTAAGTAGTGCGACATAACAAACCATATGTTCTCGCAAAAAAGCGGTGGAATTAAGGATCTCAAAGAATAAATGATCATCTTTAGGTCCGCCATTACATAATACTTTACATTTGACACGTAAGATATCTTAGCGCCCGATTTGAATTTTTCAGAATATA